ACCTTGTGTGAAAGTTTCACGATCAAGCTTGCCAATCCCAGATTTCGCAATGTCGCCACCAGCCAAACTGGATCTGGGGGTCGACCTCTTCGACGACGACGACCAAAAAACATTTTTTTGGGCTGATTGCGACATTGGACTTGAAACTTTCACACAAGGTGCTGTTGGCCAAGCCGAGCCCATTGCTCTATTAAAAACCCCACATTTCATTGTAAAGTTTGGAGATACAGGCACGTTTATGTTTACCTATGCTGTAAGCGTGATGGAGTTGCTTTTTCCTAGTGGATGGTGTCGGCTGCATTAACGGAAAGATGAAGAGCTGAGTGACACGGCACGTGGTGGTTACACAGGCACGTCCTTGACAGGTTGCTACACAAATGGATGATGATGATGATTGCCTTTTGTGAAGGTATGTAAGTAAACAGCATCCAATAATGAAGGTGTCTCAAGGTATGCATCACATTTGCATGTATATGTAAAAAGATACGTATACATATTGAATGGGTCACTCATCCTGAAACTCAATGGAGGGATCACTTCACTATTTCTCTTCTCAAGCTCATCCCACTTGCCACTACTCCTTATTGTATCACAAAAGCCATATACTTCTTGCATGACCGATAACCGGACCCGCCTTTACCATTCCATCTTCGGACCAAGAGTATGTAATCCACAAGCTAGCAAAGTCCAAGCGTGTAATAAGTAAACAATGCTTTATTTCACCTAGCTATCTTGCTACATTGCCACCACCATCGTCGTAGTCGTCCTCCGTCATCATTCCTACTCGTACTCGTCACCAATCGTCAATCTCATCCGTCACACCAACATCCAAAAATACACAAGTTGAAAAGAATGGGATCTTGCAGGCTTCCTTTTGAATCTCGTTGTCGTTATCATTGCCATTGTTGTGGATGAGGTGATCATCGTAATCGACAATTGTTGTGAATGTCGTTATCATCGTAATCGCCATTGGTGTGTATGTGGTAATCATCGTAATCGTCGTCTCTATAAATAAGAAAGCAAGCAAGTTAGACCATATGATGCCGGGAATGATGACGATTTGGTATACTGTTAGGCCATCCTCTCAAAGGAAGAAAGCAAATCAGGAGGAATTCACAAACCAAATCACCACCATACGAGCAACGTCGGGCAATCCCTTGTCTTTGAGAAAGCACTGCACGAATCACACAAGGCCAGTTCGATCCATGGCAAGGAAGGACATCACTTACGTAGAGTCCAGGCTCATAGTTGTCCTCATTCATTCTCTCCAAAGAAAGAATGATCCCCAATCCTTCCAATCATTTTCCCACCTCATGAAAAGAAATCCTCAAGGGAAAGAACGAGCCTATCACGAGAAGAGCGTGTTGGTTAAACACATTCACAAGCTGTTGCAAATCCCCTTTTACCTCAACACGGTGACCATGCTCTTCCAAAAACCCATCGTCATCGACCCATCCTCAACTCAACGCAGGCCCGTAGAGCCCTGGACGCGTTGCAAGAAGATTTTCCAGCACACTTGGCTAGTGTAGAGCGACGCAGCGGCCACTTGATATAGGCTGGGGTTTGAACCCAAAGGTGTGATGTATAAATGATGCAATGATTGTTCCCATCAAAACTCACCACAAACTCCTCTTCTCACTCTCACCATGGACTTTACTCGCGAACTGGTCTCCAGCGCTTCTTCCATTCTGGATATAGACATCGCCTACAGTCGTTTATTTCCCTACAAAAACCGATCCCGATTGTTGCAATGCAATGCATGAATGAAGATCTTCTGATTTTAAGCGAAAAGGAGGGTACAACGTCCCACAAAGCTTCACAGCTGTTGAGTAAATGGAGTAAATGGAAGTAAGATATAGTAAGTGGACCGTATATTGATGCATGTTGAAACAAAGTGTAATTCTTCCTTGTCTCTATAGCCATCGACGAAAGATGCAAGCACATCACATTCTTCCGTACGCCCTCGATCTCCTCTTCCCGATAGTAAGTTGATCCATATGCAGTATAGGCTGTAGGTAACGATATCATATTCTATGCATTAGGAGGGGAACATGATGATGATGCTGTACACAACGATGGATCTGAAATCAAGGCAAGTATAGAAATGAAAGGAGTATTCACGGACCATGTGGCTGACAGGCGCAATGATAGATACAACGTGAACGTTACGTTGTCCTCAAGAAGATTGGTGCGGGTGGATCAAGCGAATCTTTCAAGTGTATTCAAAGCAACGTGAATCGAACTTTGCTATGAAATGTGTCAAAATCAACAACATCGACGACTCGGCTATCGAGGGATATAAAGACGAGGTCCCATTACTTTGCAAATTTCGCCGGGAGGATCGTATTGCTCACCTATATCAACATGCTATCGTAAAGTCAGAGAAGATGATCTATATGGTAGGATTGGGTACAAAGATATGCTGGATGAAGGAGAGATTAACCGACACATTTGTTCAGGTGCTCGAACTAGGTCGATCGATTTTGAGCATGTGTTGGCGAAGCGCAAAAATCAACCTCCAGATTATCACTTTATACGACATTATTGGCATCAAGTAAGTTGCATTGCTAAGAGCAAATGATTACTTGATCTGATACGTGGTAAATCTAGATGCTGGAAGCTGTGGCTACTATACATCAAGAGAACATCGTGCATTCTGACCTCAAACCTGGCAATTTTATCCTCGTCGATGACACACTGAAGTTGATTGATTTTGGTCTAGCGAAAGCTATAGAGGACCTCCATTTAGAACCGTAATCCTAGAAAAAAGATACATAAACGGGTTATTGAGAAAGTAGCTGTATTACATGCTTTATTGTAGTAATCGAATTAGTGAGAAACTTTGAGAGTCAACTTGAGCGCCTGTTCGAATAAGGTCCCATCGCATGACAGCTGATAAAATGCACTTGAGTTGTAGATGGGAGTTGTGATGTAGCTCGTTTGATGCATAACAATGAGCAAGGATATGGGTGGTGTATGAGAGGCTCAAACAGGCGGAAATGGTGGGGTGGGATGGGGTGCAAGAAAAAACTCACCAAGAGGTGTGATGAAGGGCAGCAATGTCCACGTGATCACATGGTTGATCCATAAAGGTGTGTATTACTGACCCAGCTGGTGTCACTTTTCTAACAAAAGATACACAAGGAGGGACTAGTAGTTGTTCATACTGATCGAGGTATATAAATGTGTGTATTCACAAGAGTAACTATAGGAAGCAGGGTGGCTGTATCAAGTTAATTGTTCGATAACTCCATCATGCAGCAACGGGTGGGACAACATGTCAACAAGCACGTCGTTGATTGGTCTAACAAACTATACCCCGCTCCTCGGGACAATGGTACATTCATGCATTGAAAACGCCTTCATTATTATCAAGGTATCCATATAAAAGGAAAAAGTCAAATACAATGATAAAATACGGTAATGGGGCGTTGCAGTTAGCTATGTGACAATGATTGGGTAATGGGATGGGAATGAAAAGGTGTTGTGTAGGGGTCTTTGGAAGCAATGTGTGACCAATCCTTTTGGGTGCATGCGTGTGTGTGGATATCATTGTTTGTTCCAGTGGTGGTGGTGGATGCAAGTTAAACCGTTTCTCTCTCTTCCTTTTACCTTTTCTTACTGGTTGCCATCACCCTCTCACCGCACACATGAGTATAACCGACATTGACGTTCCGAAAGGCTCCATTCTCGAGTCCGATTCACCTGATCCTAGGCTGCTTAATGTTGAGCGTTTGCAAACCAGGTATGGCAACAATGCATGTCAATGGGGATTGACTTTACACACCTACTCAAAAAGCTATACTTTAGCGACTATCGCACGCAAACATGGAAGAATGGCCTTGGTGAAACCTCAGAGATCTACATCCATCCACCAGACAAGGACTTCAAATCGGATGCTTTCTTTTGGCGTCTCAGCAAGCACGTTATCGAAGCCAACTGTAACTTTTCAGTGTTTCCAGGATACGAATGGTAGGATACAACAAACATTGGTGGGAGCGAGTGATGTCTCATGCTAATGATTCGATATATGTATAGCACGACCATTGTGTTACCCAATCAAGGCAAGAGGAAGAACTCTACCATTCTTTTGAATCACAAAGGCGAGGAAATGTCTACAACAGTCAAGCCGCTTTTCCCATACACTTGGAATGGATCATGGTATGCATGCATGCGTGTGTGTGCGTGTGTGTGGGAGTGGAAAAAAGTGATCTCACGTGATGCTAATGTTGATTGGCTGATGATCTATCTATAGGCCTACGAGTTGTCAAGTGTCCAATCCACCTGTCAGCAACCTCCAATTTGTGATCAACAGAAAGCAAGGAACGGCTCAATTCAACATTGAAAAGATTGGTCAGCCGGTTTCCAATGAAAGTGGCGAATCGGGCAAGAACCTGCTACTTGGCACCTTTGCAATCTTGTACGTGGTGGAAGGAAACGTGCGAATTGAATTGGATGAGAATCATCTCAATGGATGCGTGCATACGCTCAACGAAGGCCAAACCTTGTTCATTGAGCGGGATGAAGAAGCAAGTCCAACCAGTATTCTTGTGAAGCCTTGTGACAAGTCTGGCACGGTGGGTCATCCTGATCTTGGTATGTCATAAATCATGCATGTGATATGTGATGAAGCCACTAACAAATCTATCTATCACTTTAGACGCAACTTTTATCACCATTCAAGTGGCTGAATCCAAAAAGGCACCCAGCAGCATTGGAGACAATATCATGATTCCACCGACAATGCCAATACCACCCGAGCTAGGAGGACCAAGACGGCCATTACGACGAAGAAGTTCTCTTGTTGTCTATGATGAGCAGCCTATTCAAAATCTAAAGGAAAAGGCACATGGATACGTGGTACCCGAACCACAAGGCGAATTGGAGACCAATTTACGTGCCCCAGGTTTGCCATCCGTGGATGAAGGCATGCGACGTGATAGCATTGCAATGCTGCAAGGGACATTTGATAAGACACAATTGTATACGCCACCCACTTTTGCCTTGATGCCACAAGATACAGATGTTCCACCTCCTGTGGTGCGTGATCGCTTGGTCATTGAAGAATTCCCGCTCAATACTATCAGCACAGCATGGATTAAAATGGTAAAACAAGGTCTAAGTGAGTGGATAAGATTACCAGCCATTGTTTGCAGAGGATCCAAGGATGGGTAAGTTTTATTAAACTGAAATTGATGGGTTCATTAACATGTTATTATTGTTAGCCCTGTCGTTGGTATTACAGCCGCCCTTCATGGAAATGAGCTGAATGGTGTACCATGTATTCATCGGTAAGCAATGCCTTAAGAAGAATAGCATAAGCATTAACTCATTTATCTTTATAGTGTGGTATCAGAAATTGATGTCAAGAATCTAAGTGGTACGGTTGTCGCGATTCCTTGCGTCAATATGGTTGGCTATCTTCAATTCAAGCGCGAGTATGCTGATGGCCGTGATCTAAATCGGCTCTTCCCCGGAAAAGAGGATGGATTCTCTTCACAAGTTTACTGCTACCAGCTGATGAACAAGGTCATTTCCCAATTCAATTACCTCATTGATCTTCACACGGCTAGCTTTGGGCGTATCAATTCATACTATGTTCGTGCGGATATGGTAAGCATTAACGGATCGAGTAAAAGTGAGATGTATGCTCACTCGTTCTTTTTGTATAGAATGATCCAGGATCGGCATTATTGGCTCACTTGCAGCAACCCCAGATTGTGCTTCACAACTCAGGACAAGATGGTAATAAGAAAAAGGCATCGATCAGCAATGTAGGATACTGATGACACAAAACCAAACAGGCACATTGCGATCTGCAGCTGCAGCACGTGGTATCAAGGCTATCACTGTCGAGATTGGCAATCCACAACTCTTCCAAAATCAGTATATACAGGTAAAAGGAATAAGGTTTTGTTACATCCATCAGCAATAATAATGGCGTTTCTATTATAGTGGTCCTACATGGGCGTCATGCGTATTTTGGATCATCTTGAAATGTTCCCCCTGGATAATGACACACCCAAAGATGAAAGAAGTAGTGGTCCTCCAAACACTGTGCTTTGTTCCAAAGGCTTTTGGGTAAGTATTCTTGACAATGAACGAGGAGGAGGAGAAGAAGAAGAAGAAGCTGACCTACCCTAATGGACTTAGATCTATACAAAGACGGGTGGTGTTCTCGAAGTTTATCCAGGTGTCAATACCATTATTCGCAAAGGAGATCTTATGGCACGGATCAAGAATATCTTTGGCAATGTGGTCGATGAATACGTAGCACCTTGTAGTGGTATCGTGATTGGTCGCAGCTCAAATCCAGTTGCCATGTCAGGCGATCGCATTTTGCATTTGGGCGTGATTAAAAGAAAGGGAGAAGTACTTCCAAAGGAAGCCAAGGAAAACTATTAGCAGCATAGTAGTAGGATGGGAAGAATAAAGATGATCATAGGCTCTTTGTAACAAAAGAAAATGAATGAATTGCTTGAATCAAAGTGATTGAATGATTGGCAACCTCAAGGAGGAGGAGGAGGAGGAGAGAAGAGGGTTGTGACCAAAGGTCTGGTATCGATTTTTTAATATGGATGTATGCCATTGAGCAAGTTTGTACAACAAACTAAGAAACAATGAAAGCTTTTTGATTATGCCACGAGGACCCGTTTCTTGAAGCAAAAATACATAGTCAATCCACCTGTTAATGCACCAACAACAACGGGGAATGCAGGGCAATCACGTAAAAATACGGGCACACCCCATAAGAATTCAGCTAGTGTTGGCATACGCGTGGACGTTTTGCTAGTGCTTGCATCTTGCACAAAGTGGTAGCCCTGCATCCACAAGAGTTTGCTAAATGCTTGCAGCGTTTCGGTTTCTGTAATGAGTTTGAGCGATACAATGTGCCGGATTAATACGGTTTCGAGTGTTCCAAGCACCGCAGTGATATACGCATGGTCATGCCGACTGGTAGTTTTGCTGCTGGTGGTGGTATTTTTGTCACTGCTAGCCACCCATTTCAGGTAGTTGAAAAACCTACCCCGTTTACGTCATGTTGATTAGCCCATCTCCATCTCCCTCTTTATGCCTATTCTTTTGATCTGTTACCGGTTATCATAGGGGCCCGTCATGATTCTCCCCAAGTAGCGTCGTAAGGATTCGTTGCCAAGCTTCATATCTTCATCAATGGAAAAGTGCAAAGATAGTTGACTCCGAACAGCATCAATCATTGTATCGATTTGAGGAGCAAGCTTGGTAGCTGCATTTTGAAGTACTTTAACGTCTTGACTAGCTGAAACATACGCGTGCAAAAAAAAACATGTAAGCTTGTTGGCTCAAAGAAAGGGGCAATCGACGTGTATTACGTACTGAAATTGAGACGTGCTGCAAGTGCATCCATTTGGTTCAATTCGATGGCATCAGCGTTTGACGTAGTGGTAGTGGTTGTTGCTGTTTGCATTGTGAGGGTGATATGTGTGTGTGGGAGGAGGAGGAGACGAGCTTAAAAAAGTATGAAGGAAACAGGAACAAAGCGGATACAGGCTGTACTTTGCTGTCTTAAAAATAAATGGCACCCCGCTGATTCGGGAAAAGTACCATGCGCCATTTTCCAAATCTGAAGCCCAAGCCTGCCATTCATATTATCCCCGGACGGACTCACAAGATGCGAGCCAAGAACATGCCAATGCCATTTGTATCCATATATCCGCCTAATTGCTTGACGAATGCTTGTACACTCTTCATTAACATGTTTTCATCCTTATCTGAAAATAACACATTTGCCGTAATAATTCCTTGCACTACCTAGTCTAGAACAAATGAAAAGCTATATGCTGGTTTCACACGGGATGATCGGCAATGCTTTGCCCTTTCATTGCACTGGCTCTCATACCAACACCTGATGCATGTGCTTCCACTGGGGTCACTTGTGACACCATATTGCATGCATTTCCAAGGATTCATGCATAGGCCCGGTTTGTTTTTCCATATCAACATCCCTTCGTCGCTATTGGTGTTTGATATAGCAAGCGATATCTACATCATGTATATAAAAATATGGTGCCAAAGCATCACCTGGAATAGCCAACAATATTTGACATCTATACTTTAAGTTTGTCCTTCCTTATATAAACTTGATTTTGTGATGGATCGCATCGAAAACCAGCGATCGTACAACCCTGTTTTCTTTATTGCTTACTACTGCTTATGGCTCCCAACACATATACATCTGCACTCATCTTATAGTTTCATTCGTGGTGTTTATTGTAACAGAAGATGGGGCTACATCCGATCATGTGCTTTCTACGCAGCCAGCATGCTTGCTATTACGAATGATCCAAAGCGCCGTCATCACCTTTAGCGGTGGTGTCATTCATAGCCGAGTGTTACGTAAGTGAGATTATCTTTTGCATCGAAAAGCACAAGTTGTGAACGCTGTATCGACTTGGTATCCTTTGCAAGAAAGGCTGTCATAAAATGAGATATGGTGTAACATCCAATATGGATCAAGGCTGGTAGTGTGTGTAATGGTTGAAACTCTTAAGTACATGATAGCCAAGGCTGCTTTATTTACTACTGGAAAGACAAGGAATATTCTAAAATATGACCATATCGAGCTGTGATGCTATTCATGGGTCTAACAACGATAAGAGAAAACCATTGATACCTATTTTCAAGATGAAAGCAAACAAGGAGTCAGTGGCATTGGGTACCTCTCATGGACAAGTAGCTATGCTGCTGGAGATCGATTTGACTTTTGCATGAAAGAAAAGTGTTGTAGTCGTGTGGTAAAGTCTCTGGGCATAATCGTCTCCAAGGCAACGTGTTTCCATCCTTCCATCCTCCAAGACAACGTTCTCTCGACATGCTGCATATCTGAGGAACAACCCTTTACGTCAACATCTTGTCGTATCACGTTGTGTGTTCGTATAGCATGCGTCGTAGCTGGCAATCCTCATGTGGAACTCGAGAAGGACGCGATAAAAGACGTTCGTTTTCTCTTGACGATGAATGACTGCAAAGGAAGATGCCGGAAAGAACGACGCCATTGCAACAATACCGATCGACCTTATATGCTGAATGGACTCGTCCCTATGTTGATTGATGTTGTCTGTTGAAGCAATGCAGAAGGCTGATATGGTACCCCAAGTCATGCAGGATCATGGTAAGTTGTGTGCGAGAGAGAGAGAAAGTGAATACCCCTCCTCACATTTTACAACCAGCTCCATATTAAGTAGATGACCTACCAAAATTACATGCATCACACCATCGCATTTGTTGTTGATTCCAATACACAATGAGACAAAGGTTTATCCCGCTTCCTATTACGTTGGCTGTTGCTTTCTGATCTATGACAAAAAGATAACAACATGGTAACATGATGGCAGAGGTGAAAGTGTGGTTTATTAGTGGCAAGTGACACGCGATCAATGGATCATTATTGTCTGCCCAAAAGTATACAAGAAGTGTGAATCATGCAAAGGAGATGAAAAACCCCGTATGGGCAAGGGAAAAAAGATGATGAGAGCTTTGGCCTGGCAACATGCATGGTGGTTCATGCGGGAATGAAGCTACAAGAGGAGGATAAGTATAAGGGTATATTTTTTTGTTCTTTTGATCTTTTCTGCTTTTTTTTTCGTTCTTTCTTCTTTTTTGAATAAATATAAGGGGATAAGGTATGCAAAGGGTGGTCATGCATCAGCGGATGATGTGGAGGATGGGGGATGGTCCGTGCGGAGCCATTGTAGGTATTGGGCACCAAGATTTGCACCATCAGGCTTATCTTCATGAGGGTGGCAGCGTTGATCGATCTCGGAGAGAACATCCGTGAGCGGAGGCTAATGAGTTTCCCAGAAGGAAATGATGTGTTGTTTGCGAGGGCGAGTGGAAGGGAGCTTGTTGAGGAGGTGGTCGATTGGATTTGGTTGAGCATCATGGAGGACTTGTAAGCGGGTGGCAACATCCAAGCAAGTATAGAGGTGGCGACGACTTGTGTGATCATCACCACATATACAAGCAGTTGGTTTCCCTGGTAACCATCCCATACGCCAACGTAACAAGCGGCTTCTTTCTCTTGCAGTCATAGGTAGGAACAAAATGGGATCCAGAGTCAAAGTGAGACGAAGGAAAGAGAGCATAACACCAGAGTGAGGGTCATCACGCATTTCCATAAAGCGATCTAAACGCATCTTTTTAATGGTGGTCTTGAGAGTACGTCGATCGGCTTCTTGTGGAGGAGGTGGTAAATGGCTCCAAATGGTGTTGGTGGTCGTTAGCTTGTGCCATAGGTGGACGTGGCTGTTGGAGATGAGAGGCTTCATGATGGGTAAGAGAGCATCATCAGGGAGGGAGAAAGCACGGACGAGAAATTTGGCACCAAGGTTGGTAACACGATCCTGCATTGTTGGAAGGTTGGCCATATGACGGAAAGCTTTTGTTGATGATTTGCTATGTCCGCCAAAAATCCAACGTAAACATTGGTCTTGTGCTTGTTCGAGCTTTTTGAGTTGGCCTTTGGTGGAAGGTGTGATAGCCAATCCATATTCCATCTTTGGTCGGATGAATTGTTGGTAAAGGCGTATCGCAAGAAGGCGAGGGAGACCACGAGGATTGCAACCCAATGTTTCAAGTGTTCGCATTGCTGCAATAGTTGAACTTGTGTTGCGTTGGATTAGGAGATAAGGATCCACACGAGTACCGTTGTTGAAAGGGATACCCAAATAGGAAAAGGAGTCAGCTGTTGGTATAGGTTGATTGTAGAGGGTGAGAGGTGTTGCGTGACCCATACCAGATGCATTGATAACAACACATTTAGCAGGGTTCCAGCGATAGCCGAGTTGGTAGGAGTGGGCTTCAGCTATTGAGAGTAAGTGAGGCATGGTGATGGAATCGGCAATCAAAACAACATCATCTGCATATAGTAAGCAATTCATCCACAGACCACTTACCGACCGATACAGAGGGCGCACAGGCACAAAGTCATCATCAAAGGGTGGAAGGGAGTCTAAATTACGGAGGGCATTGGGGAGCGAATTGATGTATAACGGATATAAATGTGGAGAGAGAATGGAGCCTTGGAAGGACACCAGTAGCAGGATGAAAGGAATCTGAGGTAGCACCAGAGAGCAAGACTTGAATAGAGACATCATCAAACAAGCTGCGGAGGAGACCAAGTAAAGGATAAGATGCACGAGTTTCCAGTTCACGCCAAATAATATTGCGATCAACGGTATCGTAGGCACTCTTAATGTCCAGGAAAACAAGGATGGGGTTGCGGTTGTTGTTGATGATACGGTGCCGTTGGGCAAGTTCATGTAAGCATAGAGCTTGATCCATTGCACTACGTTGAGGTCTAAAGCCACCTTGAGCGAGATCCAATGGCGGTGATGATTCATGCAAGGGGATGCGGAGGCATTGTTCCATTACCTTGCATAGCATGGATATCATCCTTATGGGGCGATAGCTAGCAGCATCTGTGGGTTCACCTTTTTTGTAAATAGGCACCACTTGTGCTAATCTCCAGGATGATGGCGTCATAGACCATTTCCAGCAAAGTTGAAAAAGTAAAGCAAGTGGAGGAGCAATGATATCGGAAACAGGTGCAAGCATTTCAGCTCTTAGGTGATCAACACCAGGAGCCTTCCTGCGAGCAGCATGTTCGATAGCCTCTTTGACTTCAAACATAGAGAAAGGGTGATGGCCATCAATGGGGGGTAGACGTTTGTATAAATACAGGACTTGTCGACGAGTCGACAACGTCGGTCTTTTTCCACCGGATCTCTGTTGACTGTAAGTAAGACGATTTTCATGCATGTGGGATTAAAGCCGATAGGGTGCGCTTATGCATCAAAGGTGATAAAGTATAAGATTCGATATTTGTTTGCTTTAGAAAGAAGAAAGGGGTATCTGTTCCTATCAATCAACTCTGTGCACTATATCAGGGCGGATGATAAAACTTTTCTACCAATAGCAAGCTGTATGATAATGGTTGTAACGGCTGAGTTGTCGCGTGTGATGATCCATGCTTGCATACTTGTCATTTGTGGGACCCTACCCAGAACGTTATTGATAGGCCTATACTGGATACGATCAACCACCTTGTTGAGTACTTGCCTTGACTTTTAAATAACATCCATAGCTTACTGCTCGATAGCAGACAAAGCTGGCGGTAAGCTGGGGATCATGTAGAGGATACAAAGGTACACACCAAAGTTGATCTCTACAAGAAGGGTGTAAGAAAATGCTACATGATGGATAAAACATGTACTTACTGAAGATAATGGCAGAGAAGGAGGAGTAGGACAATGCAAGCATAAAGGAACGTAAAAGACTACAAGAAGTGAGAATGAGATGATGTTTGGATTCTGTTGCCAGAAGTCAACTTACCATTGATATGACATCTTCTTCTTGGTTGAGTTGCTATCGTGAAGCTTGTGCTCGGCGAGTCATAGACATATGCATGAGGATCTCGCCGTAATTGTAAGCGTTGCGATGTTGGCTCATGGTAGATCATGACGATGTTTCAATCAGTGATGGCAGATGTTGTACGCCATTTACCGAGCAATTCGACCCTTTTTGCTTGATAGACATTCATCATCTCTACGTGCTATTGTGATTGCTGCTGGATTGATACGTTGGCGAATTCGTTGGAACAAGTGTATCGAAGCATTGGCTGCATTGCTGGCTATACAAGCTATCGTCTGCATACTGTCGCTTTGGCACAAAGACGCTTGAAGAATGTTGAAGTTGTCGTTTATCTCGTAGTTGAGTCCATCCCCAAAAGGCAGATCCATTGCTGATAAAGAGTACTCATCGCAGCTGCTGTCAACGACATGTCCACTCGACGACGTAATGTCCATTAGCTAATGGCACCCACATGTTCATGGTTGCTTGCATCAATGACACCTCGCTACTTGTTGATAGCGTTAAGCACAATAGCTCGCAATAAAACAATAAACAAAAGTGTACTTACTTGAACGTCTGAGGAGAGGTATTCATTTCATGCATCGCGGCTTGATTGAAAGAAGTGTAAATTTAGTAGGCATGCTTCATTTCTTTATGCCTTACATGTTACATCATCCTTGACCACGTCCCAAAATAACAATTTGGCCCAAGATTGAGAAACCTAGACAAGGAACAGGGCATCATCGTATCACATCTAAGATGTCACTTTAGCAACTCACGGAAGGAAATGCGAAGAGTGAACACCCTATACCAAGACAATGAATCGGTCCACATGTCGGCTCCATGGATACGTAATGAAAGACAAGTGTGGATGCCGTATGCAATTAAACATGAGATACGATAGGCAATATGCCTTTGCTTTTTACGTTCTTGCATAGGCGTTGTGGTATCCAAGGTAGTTTCTAGAAAGGATGAGTAAGCGGAGATGGGATCTACCTTAGCTGTGACTTAAGTTGAAAAGTATATAAGGACACGATGTTCAATAAAGGATCCCCATCATTCAGTCTCACAGTACTTTTATTGTTATCTTTGCTATCACTCCCCTACCAACACCACAGGCGTGAGGGGTGTGGCTGTTAACGCAAATATAAAAAGGGGATGTGATTGATTTCCGTATAAGAATTACGACCACCCCGCCATACATCTATGCTCATACGATGTGTTGTGTATCCCCATCCTCATAAAGCATCATCTATAACAAAAGACAATCATGCAAGACTGAGTACGTCGGAGCTTGACCACCGTGATCGATTCAAATACAGTAATGAAATCTCTTTTGATCCAAATTAATCCTGCCCATCTTCCCATTGACCTTTACGAAGCTTACCACCGCATTCACACATGCCTCCGCTACACACTGATATCACGAAAGGTATGCCATTCATGTCATTTTTGATTTTTCAATTAGGAAATTTTGCGGTTTATATATTCACTCAAACATTAAAAAATATAGAAGAAGAAGATGGTAACATGGCCGAGTTGGTCTAAGGCGCCAGACTCAAGTTCTGGTCTCGCAAGAGGCGTGAGTTCGAATCTCACTGTTACCAAGCCTTGAATAGGCTTGATTCTTCCTTTTGTTTTTTTGATTTTGGGGTTGATCACGTGATGTGTTGGTCGTTGTTGTTATGTTTAGATATCATTTGGTTCCATAGAATAAGATGGCGTGCAGGTTCCTGTAAAATAATAACTAAGGACAATGCGTAAACGTGTAAACGTATTACTTCATAGTAAGTAGCGTTAAGTCATTCAAAAGTTAACGGGCGAAGCGGTCAGCTTTACTTATTATTGCGGGTTTATTCAGCATCATAAGGAAGACATAAAGGTATCTGTATCTCTAAATTCTACAATCAACGCTGAGTGTCTTTAATAGAATAGAGTTCCCCACCTCGTGAAAATTGCACCACACAAGATTCTTTGATCCCGCCGAGCAACTTTGTTCTATTAAAGAGCCCACGCTCGATCGTCTTTGTGTTTTACATATGCTTTAGTAGACGAGATGCTATATGTAAAGTAGACTTTGTTTATTGTCAAGTAGCTAGATCCTAATACAGCCATGGATGCAGAGGACCGTGTTTGTGGAACACAACCGATTTTGCAGGATTGGAACTGTCGGTGCATGTAGATACTTGTACACTATTCAGGAAGAGCTCATAAATGCAGCTAGCACCCCATTCCTCCCATTCACCTCTGTTGTCCAATCCAATGCATATGAAAGATTACCCTGCTCCAGCCCAACATGCCCATCATTCAACTTTTCTTGATTCGAGCTGACCTGGTAGTAAAGCAATGGCTGTTGTTGGGTCATCATTATCATGTAAAGTGTGAAATGACACACACCCTTTTGCTATACGTGAAGATAATTTCTTTTATTTACGTGTACCTATGGTCTATCATGAGGGTGATGATGATGACGATGGGTGGATGGTGTGTGTGGGGTCATTGAGTGGCCTCAGTGTAATAGCAGTAGGGGATTTAAACTTGGGGGAGAGCAGCTCCACGACTTGAGACAACGCTTTCTCTTCTCTTTCTCCCTCCTCTGCTTTTACTCCATTCACGACCATTGCGATCAAGGTAATGTACTATAAAGGTATGCTCTTGTTGGTTGTGACGTATTAATGTAGTTCTGAACATGCATAGGCAGGGAGTGAGCCGTGTCCAAGTGCTGAGGAATGAGCGTGGTTGGTGGTTGGTGGTTGCCATGGCGATATCGTTGCTTCCTCTTGTTCGTTGCTATTCCCACTTTATGCTTGGTGTCAACAGGTACATTCAGAGCACAATGTTGCAGCAGAACTTGCTCCATTGACGTGTTAGCTTGTATAGATGGCTGGTTTGGCGTCTTTCGGTTTCCAGTAACCAACAACAAAGGGTCTCTATGTATATGGAAAAGGCAAGTGCAATGAAATGGGCGTTTACTGTATGTGTGTGCTAATAATGAATTGAATAGGTTTCTTTGGTCAGGCAATGCAATTTGGGGCATCATCATCATCATCATCATCCCTTTGGGTTCAAGTCCCAGCCTGTATCAAATGGCCGCTGCGTCGCTCTGCACTAGCCAAGTGTGCTGGAAAAGCTTCTTGGAACGCATCCAGGGCTCTATAGGCCTGCGTTGAGTTGATGGGTTGACGACGATGGGTTTTTGGAAGAGCATGGTCACCGCGTTGAGGTAAAAGGGGATTTGCAACAGCTTGACATCAGTGCGAACCAACACGCTCTTCTCGTGGTAGGCTCGTTCTTTCTCTTGAGGATTTCTTTTCATGAGGTGGGAAATGATTGGAAGGATTGGGGATCATTCTTTCTTTGGAGAGGATGAATGAGGACAACTATGAGCCTGGCCTTGCGTGATTCGTGCAGCGCTTTCTCAAGAACAAGGGATCGCCCGATGTTGCTGGTATGGTGGTGATCTCGTTTGTGAATTCCTTCTGATTTGCTTTCTTCCTTTGAGAGGATCGCCTAACGGTATACCAAGTCGTCATCATTCCCGGTATCAGATGGTCTAACTTGCCTGCTTTCTTATTTATATAGACGACGATTACGATGATCACCCCATCCACAACAATGACAATGATAACGACAGCGAGATTCAAAAGGAAGTCTGCAAGATCCCATTCTTTTCAACTTGTGTGTTTTTGATATTGGAATGACGGATGAGATTGACGACTGGTGACGAGTGCGAGTACGAATGATGACGGAGGACGACTACGACGATGGTGGTGGCAATGTACAGTAGCAAGATAGCTAGATGAAATAAAGCATTGTTTATTTATTACACGCTTGTTGGAGTTTGCTAGCTTGTGGATTACATACTATTGCTTCCAAGATGGAATAATAAAGGTGGTCCGGTTAACGATCATGCAAGAAGTAGATGGCTTTTGTGATACAATAAGGAGGAGTGGGAAGCGGGATGAGCTTGAGAAGAGAAAAAGTGAAGAGATCCCTCCATTGAGTTTCAGGATGAGTGTAGACCCATTCAATATGTATACGTATCTTTTTACATATACAAATTGGTTTATGCAGCTCGACTTTCTTCTACATGCAAATGTGATGCATACCTTGACACACCTTCATGGTTGGATGCTGTTTACTTACGTATCTTCACAAAAGGCAATCATCATCATCATCCATTTTTGTAGCAACCTGTCAAGGACGCATTTGTGTAACCACCACGTGCGGTTTCACTCAGCTCTTTATCTTTCCGTTAATGCAGCTGACACCATCCACTAGGAAAAAGCAACTCCATCACGCTTACAGCATAGGTAAAATATAGAGGTGTCTGTATCTCTAAACTTTGCAATCAAATGTGGGGGTCTTTAATAGAACAAAACTGCTCGGCAAGGTGCAACGAATCAGTGTGCGAGTTTCACGATCGAGGTGGGCAACCCCAGATTTCGCAAATGTCGCCACCAGCCAAAGTGGGTCGACCTCTTGAATTTTTTTTTTTCACGACGAGCAAAATGAAACCATGGTGACAGGACCTAGCAACCATGACACTGTAGGCCACAAATAACCTCGACACGTGATACCCGAGCATGTTTAAACGCCGTTTGCAAGAAATAAAGCAGGTGCAAGAATCCGCAGCCGCCTCTTTTTCTCTCGGGAATCACTACGCGCACCAAAAATGTAGGCATGGAAATAACGTAACCCAGCAACCAACCAAACAAACATGTCTCTCATCAATCGTCATTGACCATGCGCGCACCACTTTTGCTATCCCATGTCATCTGCATTCATCCAACCTTGACCATGCACGCACCAATTTTACTCCATCATCTCGCACACTATTACATATATTATCAATTCATCCAACCTGCTCGCACCACCACTCTACTAACAATGCTTTGATACATCGTGTGTTGTATTCTATGGTGAGCTTTCAACCATTATATGCATAGTAGGAAACAAATTGCACATGAACAGGGATATAAAATAAGGTGCGTGCGAGATGAAGGCATAAAACAGGTGCGTGCATGGTCAAGGTTGGATGAATGCAGATGACATGGGATAGCAAAAGTGGTGCGCGCATGGTCAATGACGATTGATGAGAGACATGTTTATTTGGTTGGTTGCTGGGTTACGTTACTGCCATGCCTACATTTTTGGTGCGCGCGTAGTAATTCCCATAGAACAACTTTAAAAGCTCGATCTTTTATTTTCAATCATCACTCTTTTTGCCTTTCAAAACAGCCCATTTTTGGACCTTGTTGGTAATATAATCTTGGACCTTGCAATCCTTTTGCTCGACAGACACCTTTTCTGGTAGCTTCTTATCAAGTTCTTGATAGGCTGAGAATTGGAGCACAAAGAAATCAAGTTGACATTCATCAAAGCTCCAGCCTTCGTCATCCACACGTACACAGCCATTGTGCTTTTTGCCATCAGGGAGCTTGAGACCATCGAGGTCCTTGACATACAAGGTTGTGCCACGCTTAAGATCGTTGGATGCCACGCTCACCCAAGGATCAAGGGCGATATCGTCATCGGAGCCAATACCATAAGGGTCCTTCTTGCGGTCGACTTCCATGAATTTATCTTTGCCTTCATCCAAATTGACCATGATTCCGCTTTTGAGCAAACCAGTGCCTTCCATTTGGAATTTCTATAGTGCATGCATTGATGTTAGGTATACCAGTAGGGCAATCATATGGGACAAGAAGAAGTACTCACGTCATAGGTCGTCTTGGATACCTTGGCAATGGTCTTGCCGCTCTTGGTCTTGAGCTTCTTCGTCTTTGATCCTGACAAGGTGACACTATCGCCATCATTGGTCATATCCTTGTCGCCTTCTTTGGGGATCCAGTATCTATGGAAACATTCTAATAAGTCATCATGGCCATCATTAAGGAATAGTAGCAGCTTCACATACTGTGTCAATTTGGCATGCTTGTAGCAGCTCTTTAGACCACGCTTTTCTTGCTGAACAGGGGCTGCCAGAGCCGAGAGAGTGAAAAAAGAGAGTGCGAGGAGGGCAATGTTGCTGAATTTCATAATGAATGGGATGGGATCAATGTAGATGATGATGTGAGTGAGTGAGAGAGAACCTGCTCAAATGATGCGTAATGTACAACAAAATGAAGGGGTGGGGTAGGAGAAAAAGATGTTGTTCCTGACAACGATTCCTTGATGATGAGATGACAACTACCAACATGTCAACAGCTCATGTATTTATACCTGTCGAATTGCCATGTGTAACCTAGTGATTACACAAAACGCGGCGGATGTGGTCACCGTCCCGAATTTCATTATCATGCATAAAAACAAAGTGGCCCTTTTTCCACATGGATGATTCAATTTGTGGTTATTACGCACTCCTTGTCACCCACAGCACACACATGTGGGCCCTGGAACCTAACCTCTTGTTTAATGCATGGTAAATATGCAAGGTAACCTTGCTGTTAATCGATTATCCGAAGCCAATGCGTCGTTCCATGTACACCACTGACCACAAAAATGGAGCGAGCTTTGTAGCAAGGACTGAGTTTACAGAATCCATTTCTTTTGGAAATCATTTGATTTGCCCATAATGGGATCTTTTTGACATCATCTTTAATGAATCGGTGGTTCATTCAAAGAAAGATAATGAAATGCCTACTAGGTCACCTGCTTATTCGGGGGAAGTACCGGTTGGATCAGCGCTTCGAATGGGCATGATGGTTGTTGTACAGAATTTCTTTTAGGGAGGGATCTTTTCACCAAAACAAGAGGTCCAATTGTCTTAATTGCTTTTTCTAGTGAATGCGGTGGTGAATTGATATTTGTCAAACAAAAGAAAAGAAGATTCTGTTGTCAGCAGGAGCAGCTGATCATCCGCACGTAAACAACCATTTAGCAGTTTTTTCCTTTTAGCGTAGTGTAGGAGTGACAACATCATGAAGAAGAATGAACACCACAGTCATTATTATTGATAATAGCTATAAATGACGAATAATAGGGTCAAGTTGAAACAAAGCACGAGGCGAGGGGGGTTTGGGTGGGGAGGAGGAGATGGGAACATAAGATCATTGTCAATGTACATACATAAAGAAGGCATCCATGGATGAGAAAATGTGGCATAGTGGATATCATTGGATGTGTGTCTTAGCGATATTGGTGTGTGCTATAGCAGCTAGCTGTAGCCGGTTTTTGATTCCGCGACCTTTGTGAGGCCTGGACTTTCTCTTCTTTTGTGCCTGTAATAGCGAACGCATATAGACGTCGTTGACCCAAGCCCACCACCACCACCACCCTCTTTTGCATCACCCTCTCCTCCTAATTACAACAACAGCATGGCAGCACGCTTTACGCTGGCGAGTGGCCTTACCAGCAAAGTCAACGCGTTTTCAGCCTACTTGTCCACCTTTTCAAAACGATCGCTGTCATTACTAGCACTCTTCACCATCACCATCTCGGTCATATTCCTTTATTCATCCAATTCACCCAACTTTCTATCAACAACACCAGATGGCTTTCGCTTTGGACGCAATGAATCACATCTACTCTCACCAGGAGTGTACGACTGTGGGCACAAGTGTCTCAGGCCCAAAGTGGAACAACTTGAGCCAAAACAGATTTGGGAAGCATGTCTCGATCCCGGTGTTGTACCTGAATACTATCTCAGTGTGGTCATGGTTTCCAGGAACGACAATTATGGTGGCGAGCAGTTTCATCGACTACAAAACGCTATCGACAGCACCTTTTTAATGGCTGAAGAAACCAAGACCCCGATTGAATTGTTACTCATTGAATGGAATCCACCCGTGGGTCGTCGTCGAATTCGTGATGTGTATCGGTATGTGCATTGAAGCGAGAGGAGAAAGCATAAGCTAAGAATCATTTCATAGTTTTCGACGATCTTCGTATTTGACCTATCGTATCATTACCGTTTCCCGAGAAATTCATGAGGCATTGCATGGTGGTGGTAAAGAGGGATCAAAGATTTACGAGTTTGAAGGCAAGAATGTGGGTATTCGGTTTGCAAGAGGCGAGTTTATTGTTTGCACCAATCAAGGTAAGGGGGTTCTCTTGCATAAAGCATCTTGCATTTGACTAATCTTTATTTGGGTTGATAGATGACATCTGGTCCCGCAACATGTATAATGCCATCATTTCACGTGTATGGCGTAAAAAGGTCTTTTATACTCAATTCCAAGATAGCCATATTCCGTGAGTATCTCTTACCACCTATTGCCCATATCACCTATTAACCACGTTATAACAGGTATCAAAACTTGCCATCCACCCTCGTCAAGCTTACCAACTTTGCCACAGACGACCAAATTCTTGAAGCATGCCCTCATGACCGATATGAACGAGGCCAATTTCAACTTACTCCTCACAAGGAACTCGACACACAAAACTTTTTGGAGATCACCAATGAAGCTAGCGACTTTACTTTGGCACATCGTGATACATGGAAAATGACCCATGGCTATCGGGAAACAGGAGCGAGATCATGGATGGATATGGAATTGTTATTGACGGCCAGCTGGACACTTGACATCCCCATCAATTACAGCCCAGAGCCTTTTACTTGTCATCAGCAACACGAAAAGGTTCCTCATCCCAACACGAAGGAGGACAACCAAGGCGTCGATGTGGGTCGGATGATGAATGGAGAAGAGATACATATGAACAAGGAAGATGAATGGGGTCTGCAAACCATTGATTTATGGTCGCATGATCTTCAATGCGAAGTATTTCGCGGAGGTATTGGGATGTAGTAGTAGTAGCAGTAGTAGTAGTAGATATCCCCGCACCATTTATATAAATCACACATATACATTTTAATACAACCACATACACACAATGCATATATATTTCTAGATTTATGTGATCACAGTAGGCTCGGTACGTCCGGTAAACTTGACAAGTTGTGACAAATCGAGAGCAACGTCAATGAGAGATTTCAATGCTTGTTGGGTATCAGCAGCGTATTCGGATGCATCATTGGAGTACTTTTCAACATAAAGACGCACCGTAGCACCTGATGAACCAGTGCCAGAGAGACGAATGACCACACGGGAACCATCAGCAAAGACAATACGGATACCCTGCTTTTGAGATACGCTGCCATCGATAGGATCATTGTAGGAAAAGTCATCTGCTTGTGCAACAGTAAAAGCACCCAAAGTCTTGCCAGGCAATTCATTCTTCTCAATCATACCACGGAGATGGGATACCATTTCCTCAGCACCCTTACCATCCACTTCTTCATAATCATATCTAATGTCGCATGTTCACACTTCAGCATTGGTATTCCTTTTAGCCTCATTGTTATTTACCTTGAGAAGAAGTTACGGCCATAAATTTGATAATGTGCTTGAAGAACATCTTGTACACCCGATCCAGGTTTGGTCTTGTTAACATGGGCCAAAATACTCAACCATGCTATAGATTCAAGATCGTTAATACGCCGAGTTTGTTGTAGTAGTACAATGACTTACCAAGCACTGCCCATAAACCATCCTTTTCACGCACGTGATCAGATCCTGTTCCAAAAGATTCTTCGCCACAAATAGAGCAACGACCAGCATCCATAAGGTTACCAAAGAACTTCCATCCCGTGGGAACTTCAAAGTATTCGAGGTTTTGTTTCTTGGCCACCAAATCCAAGGCTTGTGATGTAGGCATACTTCTTGCCAAGCCGTGCACGCCATTGTTGCGGAAGTAAGGGATGGCATCCTTGGCATAGTGGGCAATGATAGCAACACTATCACTTGGGGTGACGAAAGCATTCTTGCCGATAATCATGTTGCGATCACCATCACCATCGGAAGCAGCACCAAAATCGATACCTTCCTTGTTGACGCGATCCACCAAATCATGTGCATAGGTCAAGTTGGGATCAGGGTGTTCTCCACCAAAGTCGGGTAAGGGGGTGCATCGCATCACACTGGATTGTGGGAGACCCAATTCCTCCACAAAGATACGTTGACCATAAGGACCGGTGACTAAAGAATAATGGGGGAGGGAGAGAGAGAGAAGATCAATATCGTGCAACGTTACGCTTTCGGATAATTTTACCTCCATTCATGCCATCAAACAACATGGTGAAATCCTTGTTAGTGGCAAAGAACTCCTTGATGGCACCAAAGTCAAAGATAGTCTTCATCAAATCGACATAGGCATCCACGCTATCAATGATATCGACTTGCATACCACCCACAGTCTGAGAACCAAGTGCAGAGAAATCCACCTAAATAGATGACATATTTAGTAACATTACATTACACCAAGATGTATGCACACTCTCTCTCGCTCTCTTTTTCTTCCCCCAACAATCTTTTTTGTTGAGATACCTTGGGAACATTCGTGGCCATCTTGATTTCAGTGATCGTCTTTGTGAGCTCATAGATCTTGTTGGTGACATTCTCAGGAGCAGGTCCACCACTGGCAATGTTGTACTTGATACCAAAGTCGTTTTCGGGACCACCAGGGTTATGAGAAGCGGTCAACAAGATACCACCGGTTGCATTGAGTTGGCGGATAAGATTGGAAACGGCTGGGGTTGACAAGATACCATTGCGACCCACCACAAGCTTGGATACCTACACAAGAAAAGCAACAGCGTTGGTGATCATGATAGCTTCGTGATAGTGATAGTGATAGCAACTTACACCTGCAGCAACACTGAGTTTGACAATGATCTGGAGGACCTCATCAGAATAAAAACGACCATCGCCACCCACGACAAGAACAGCTCCTTCAGCAGGAATGGCATTCAGAATGGCTTGAATGAAGTTTTCAGTATAGTTGGGTTGTTGAAAGACTTTGACCTTCTTGCGAAGACCAGAGGTGCCTGGTTTTTGGCCGTCAAAGGGTTGAGTGGGCACTGACTGGATATCGAGAACCATTTGGAAAATAGCGGAGAGGAGAGAAAGAGAGCAACGAACGCGGTTCTGGGTTCAATCCATGCTACTAAATAAAGCAGCCAACAACGATCCCTGGATTTCCTGGCCATGCGGAGATCAAGCACAGACGAAGCTTTTTGCTTACCTACGCAACTTATGTAATCTTTTCTTCCGAACATACCGATCCGAGGAACGATAATGAGAGTATTCAATAGGTGCCATTCTCGCTATCTAACGAATCAATTACTATCTTGATCACCCAAAGATAGGGTTAATTGTTCTATTATCAAGTCACTATGCTACTCTTTGTCTTCCATCACCACCCTAGCCTACTACTTTTATTACTATTACCCTCAAGGATTAAGTTTTACAACCTCTATAGCTATGAGCGATGGCTTTTTTAATTACATAGAACCCAAGGAGGATAATAAAATGGGGTCTCACGCGTTGTCGGCAGGGTGTATACATGTATCCTAGTGATAAAGTTGTCATGGAAACCATCATCACATCTCATATTATTGCCACATGGATGGTATTGCCTTCATCTTTATTGATTGTTGCTAATGCTCCTACTACTACGTCAATGGTGTCATGGTGGGGGGCAAGGTCATGTGAAATGGGCATTATCATGTGCACAGGAGAAGGCTATATTTGATTGGCTGCGTTTGGTGCTTGAGATGACGAGGCTGCATGATGTGAGTGACCACCCCACTTGTTCCGCTTTTCTTCTTTTACTCTTCAACCTTTATCCTGCAACATGTCCGTACGAGACGTCTACAGCAATATTTATTCAACGTTCCACTCCATGCGAGAGTACCTGGCTCCAGTCCTGAAGCATTCGAAATTCAAAGAAACAGGATGTCTTACTCCTGAAGAAGTAGGTGTTCTTCCCCAATGACGAATCCGCAGCCAAAGAGTGTCCCATTGCTAACGTCTCCATGTCGAAATCAGTTTATTGCTGCTGGTGAATTCCTTGTGTACAAGTGTCCTACTTGGTCATGGTAGATAGAGCTTTGCTTGGATGGGTACATGTGCCTGGAGGTGGTATTTACATGCATCTATTAGGGAAGGAGGATTGCCTGAGAAACGTCGAGATTATCTTCCCAATGATAAGCAGTTCTTGGTCACTCGAAATGGTTAGTAAATATACTACAATGAAAGGAAAACATGGTATTGATATGATCATCATAGTGCCATGTGTACGCCGTGCCAAGCAAATGGAATACACAGCCGACGAGGATGATGTGAAACAAGTTGACAATGATGAAAAGGATGAGGATGGTTGGATGTATACTCATAGTTCAAGAGGTAAGTAAACATTGTTGAGGGCTCCTTCATCCTATGACATTAATCACACGTCGTCGTCGTTGTTGTTGTAGAAACCAAGACAATGGACGAGATAGCTCAGATCATCATGGATGAAGAGGAGGAAATCAAAAACAGTTTGGACAAGCTGGATCTGGACAAGGACAAAGAGATGCCACTCGAAGCGATTCCTGACATTGATGATATTCCCGGTATTGATGATGAAGATGACCAAGTCGTTGAAGAAGATGATCCTGCAAGTATTACAATGACAAGCCAATCCACGCAACACGGTACTAATACTCTCTCTTTTTCAGGCTACAGCTGCTCCTGCTACGACGAGTACAGAAGATGATGGCGCAAAGTAAGAAGGATCATCAAAAGAGGGGAAGGAGGAGGACATTGGGTATTCATGCACATTGTGGATAGTGATAAGATCTTGCAAGTGCGGACCTATGACGTCTTTATTACTTATGACAAGTACTATCAAACACCCCGAATGTGGCTCTTTGGTTATGACGAGGTATGTATGCATAATGGATGTTATTAGAGCGTCGTAAGATTGACATGTTATTCTATAGCAACGTCGTCCATTACCTTCCAGCCGTGTATTTGAAGATGTGGCTCAAGATTATGTGAAGAAAACAGTGACGATTGACACCCATCCGCATCTCAATATGAATCTGGCTTCGATTCATCCATGTCGTCACGCGGAAGTGATGAAGAAGATTATTGAGCGAATGGGTGACGGAGTCTCGGCCGGTCTTGCGGAGAAGGATCAAGAGGCTGGTATTCGTGTAGATCAGTAAGTTTTTCTTTTTTGGGGATGAAAAACCTGAGCCCAGCCGTGGATGACTGATTAACATATGTCATTATGCAGATATCTTATTATCTTTCTCAAATTTATGAGCTCGGTGGTCCCGACAATTGATTACGATCATACCATAAGCACCTGAAGATGATAAACCCTTTTCGTTTGTAGCAAGGAGCATATAATATATATATAAACGTGTGTGTGTGTGACTGATGTAAATGTATACTAGTAGATTTAGCCTTAACAAATTATTACATGGACATTGTGCGTGTGTGGTTGTGTGTGAAAGAACTATTTACAGATGCAAAGGATGAGGAGGTGGTGGTGTTGGGGGGATTGTATACTAGGAATGTAATTGAAAGCAAGGGAATATGGCAAAGATGGTTTACGAGGTGGTAGTTGTGGTGGTAGCAGCAAGGGATTCTGGGCTGCAACCATAATGCAGGACCTGGTGCAATGTTTTCTTTAACACGGATGGAACGATAGGTTTACTGATGCATCCATTCTACAAATTACCAAATTAATGATCAGGGAAAAACAAATACGAGTGGTGATCCATTAACTTACCATGCCAGCTTGTGCATATGAACGTTTCCAATCAGGCGAGTCATTGGTAGTGACGGCGACGATAGGGACACTGCGGTTCTGGACCAAGATGTGGTATTCGTTTGATGCTCGGATATGTCGGGCCGTTTCCATACCATTCAACAAGGGCATATCAATGTCCAACAAGATGAGATCGTATACATTGGTATGCATCATTTCCAATGCCTTGACTCCATTCTTGGCAAAATGCAGCTGGTGAATGGTATCGCCCATATGTATTTTTAGAATACGCGCCAGTACTTGGAGGTTGACATGGTTGTCGTCGACGAGCAAAGCCGTGATTCGTCCAGCCAAGGCGCTCCTTGTACGACGTGGCATACACGAATAGAAAGGAGAATCATCAGTGCTGTTGTTGTTGTACTTGTTTGCAACAACAGGAATAGATGATAATGATGATGATGGGTAAGGTGGAGGTGTAGCCAATGGAGGACTCAATGGTGATGCTACATCAGGTGTACTTGGTGAAAGAAGAGGTGGTGGTGGCATAATGGTGGTGGTATCATAGGAAGAAGACGAAGATGATGATGCATGGCTGATAGCAGTAGAGGATGAAGCCAATGGCGAGGATGGAGATGGTGGTGGCATGATAAGTTGTGAATAGCGTTGAAATGGTGGTCGTTGTTGTGAAGAACGTCGTCGATGATGCTGTGATCGTTTATTGCTGTTACCATTGGATGATGATGATGTTGTCGTTGAAGTAGACTCATCATTGGAACGTCGACGATGATGTTGCTGAAAAAGGGAGGAACCTGTTGAGGCTCTCCGGCCATTGTAGCCAAAATAATCCAATGTGTATACGATTGTGAATATAAGAAAAAGAAAAAAAGTAACAAAAAATGAATGAATGATCTTGGATGGAACACTCTTTATAGGAAAAGACCAGGGAACGCGCGCCTTGTGACACATGGCGCGACCTTGGGGTCGAAGGGCACATTCGAGACTCAGAATGCGCGCGTAAATCTTCTTGTTATTTACATGGAGTCCGATCCATTTACCAACAACGCTTTCCAATGCTACTCTGCTGATATCTTTCAACCAGTAAATGATGGCCTTTTTATAATGAGGAAATGGAAAAGATCATTTCTATCATTGGATGAAGAAATAGAACGACTTTTTTTTGTATTTCCAAAAGATGGATTTCTCTCTCAAGTTGGGTCAACGACGAATGATTGGCCATGCATGCAACATTGATCACAAATGTAATTAGTGGCTGCCCAGACCCACAACCAGCTTGGGCTCGTCGCCCTGTGTTACCTGCATCTTCACCGGTATAGCCCATTCTAGTCAAGCGGGTATTCACTTTTATGGATAGCCATTGTTGCTTGTTGTTTATTCCCATTCACAACATGTGCATCGAACCTGGATTGTTCTATCACATTCATCCAAATAAAAAGTATCATTTCTGCCAAGAACCCACACACACACACACACGCACACTCCCAATCGAGATTCTGAATAAGGCACAATGCAATGTTGGTGGTAGTGGTGGTGTACAAGAACAAACCCAATGTTTACCTCCCGCTATTGCTCAGCCAAATCTTTTTGCCTTTACAATTGCTTCATCAATTTATTATTTACTATGATACAAAAAAGCAAAATGCCTTTACAGAAAGCAATTCTAACAAAATGACAATTTATCGTCTCTTGGCAGGTCGTTGATTTTCTTCTCCTCCTTGATCAAGTGTGCGTTTCCTTTCCCGCATTGGATTACCAGTCAATCTTGGTGGCTTCTTTCCTATTTGCAAATGAGACAGTCCTTGTCCGCCTCTCTTCAATCCAAGCTTGACATTTGGTTTCAACTCCACTTGTGACGCACTCGTTCGCTGTTTTGGCTTTTGATCCGGCACAACATCTGGTCCTGTGGATGATGGAAGTGGTGTTGATGATGATCCTTTAGAAGAAGGTGTTGTAGTCGTATTGGCAGCAACGTTAGCTGACTCAGTGGATGATTTCTCAGGTTGTGATACAGTAGTAATAGCGTCATTCGATTTGTTGTTGTTGTTGTTGTCCTTGTCACTGCTCTCTGTAGATGTCGTAGCTTTTTCTTCATGTTGTGATTGTGTGTTGTTTTCTTTTGATGGTTCTGATAAAGAGGTGTTGGTTGTTTGTTGGGTCGTCAATTCTGGTTTTTGGGGACGCTCTTTGGATGATTCGGAAGAGATGGTGGTGTTGGCTGTCTTTGTAGTTGTAGTTGTTGTTGTTGTTGCTACTGTCATTTCTGCTTTTTGTTGACGAGCTTTGGATGATGCGATAGGTACTCGTGATCTCACGCTAGATGTAACAGCCTTTTTAATAGGCTTTCGAAGCGCTGCTGCTGCTGTTGATGATGGCTTTGGCGGTATTCCAGAGGGTGTTCTTCGTGCTAATAATGATGACGATGACGACGATGTTGATGATGTTGATGCTGCTGATGATGTGGGTTTTCGGGTATGCTTTGATGATATAAGTGAACGAGTTGATGTGGAGGTGCTGGGTTGTGGACGTGGTTTTGTGCCGAGTTGAGGTACGCTGTGGCGACCTGCTGTGGGTCGAGTGGTTGTAGTTGTACGTTGACGCATACTTGGAAGACTGTTACGGCCATGTGAAAGCGAGCTTGATGATGTGCTAGTAGAGCTGACAGAGCTGCTGAGGCTGCCAGAAGAACTACTTTTGCGAACAACGGGTGGTTTTAGGTGCTTCTTTTCATTATCCAAAAGACCATCTTCGAAGCTAGATAACACAGCATGAGTATCCTACATGAATAAGGGTATATATAAAAGTACCTTGTGGCATTTTCAGGCATCTTGGAAGCATAAGCCTTGTAGCAAGCCCTGACAGCGGTACGAACTTCAGCTGACGGCTTCATGATACCAGCACGAATAGCGGCTTCAAGACTTTGGATATGGGGTTGAATGTGTTCAGGAGAATTGCTTTGGATGCATAATTCGAGACATGTTGCTGCACTCGATAATGTCGAGTTGTTGGTGACTTGAAGTTTGTTGTTATTGGTGAGCATGGCAGAGAAACGAGGAATGAGTCGAGGAAGCTTGGATGCTGCAATCACTGTCTTTAGACAATCCAAGGCTTGTGCAACGATCACTTTCTTGGTACGTGCGAGCATGCGTAAAAGTGATCCATGAAACATGTCGTGAAAGGGCTCATAATCACGTTGCATCGTCTTTGCCAATGTTTTCACAAGTTCAATTGCTGATCCAGATAGACGCGTACGTTCACTCAACAACTAGAATGGACAAAAAAGGAAATCAGCACTTCACACGCGATCGCGCGTTGTGTAGGGAGCAAAATTACCGCATGGTTGATACCATCACGCAACGACTTTAAATGCTTGCCAAAACCTTCATATTCATGTGCGTTGCTGTGTTCAACCCAGTTTTTGATATTGTCGAGTGCTGCATTGAAGAGTTGCCATGTCTCGTCCGTTTCCTTCTTTTGAAAAAGTGCATGTACACGCCGCATTTCACGATCGAGCTCCACTTTGGAGGAGATCTGGTATCCAAGGCTACTGTGTCAATGTCGCCAACCAACAACACCCGTCTACCATGATTTATACCTTGATGGGTTTCCTTGGGTAAATCTCCATTAGTCGTGTGCAAGGAGCAGCAAAATCAGTGCCAAAAAAAGGTGGTCGTGAAAGGAAAGGCGCAAAAGAAAGAAGCGCTGTTTCGTACACCAAATTAATTGCAACCACCATCTCTCTCCCCTCTCTCCTCCTCCTCCTCCTGCTCACATCAGGAATGTGTCATAGTGTAAACAATGAATTGCATTATGCTCAATGCTATCCTACTGCTAATAATGGGTTTATAGTTGAGAAGGTGCCTCCACCGTACGCCAAGCATTATTAAGGACACCACGATAATTCCAAACAGGGTATTCTTGCTGTACATTTCCAGCTGCATCAACTATAGTAGTAGTAACCATGGCTTATTATCAGGCTAGTCACCTATGCACTTATGAATGCTTACCAGCACGACTAACAATACGCACTCCTGGATGACTCGTTACTCTTGCTGTCCACAAGCACCAGCCCCACGCATGAGCTGAATCGTTTACGCATGGTTGATACAAGTCTGCTAGTGTCCACGATTCACCATTATCGCTCGATACATCTATTTTATCATAGGATTATTAGAATTTCGGCATGTTGCTTAGCAATAAAGACATCACTTGCCTACGCGTTGTATACTTCGACCACCACCTAGGATACCCCTCTTATTGTTAATACCGAGAAGAGCTCTAGTGGATGATAATATTGTTGTACTACCTGACAATGCATAACCTTGGACAACCATTTCTTTTCCTTGTGATGTCTCTCCGTTGGGTGGATCACAAACATAGGATTGGACATTGTATTCACCAATCGATGGGACCTTGCTCCAATAGGCCTCTGCCTCCTTTTCGTTGGATATCTTTCCAGGCAATAGCTTGTAATCTCGTTGTTGGAAATACGATGATGACTCGTAAGGCTGGATGGTAATCGATTTGAGGTACTTTACAGAGCGTGCACCAATGTAGCCTGCATAAATGCCACGTGAGCTATTCCTCTTCTTCTCCTGGCGCTCGTCATTTATATATTTACCCGGGACAACGACTCGCAATGGGTACCCATGATCACGGGTTAATGGCTTGTGATTCATCTTTTTTGTTGTGTACGTCATTGTGTCATCCAAGTTAGGTTGCGCAATCACACGTAATGTTGTTATGATTTATTTTTACCTCATACGCCAAAAGGACATCCCCAAATTCGTCCCTAAAGTGATATGTAACCAACTGAGTGGCTCAATGTCCCAAGTGGTTGTCTCAAATGGATAATCGGCTCTTCCCCCAACTTACAGTGCTTTACACAAAGGAATCGAGGACCCGTAACAAGTATCTTCTTCACACTAATATCAACGCGTTGTTGGCTTTTTCGGTCCAACGTAACTCCTTTTTTTTAATCACCCTACCTGTTCCTCAGACACAAAGGCTACATGGAGATGTTGTACATTGCTGATTCTACTATGAATACCCACGGTCTCCAAGACATCTTTCAACCGGCATCCACTGTAAACGGCATTACCCACAGCTGCTGCACCCCAAATCACCTAAAGGGTTATACGTAGGTAAGATGGCTTTGTTGTTGGTGTTGTTGTGTGTGTGTAGTATAGTATACTTGCTCCTTTGGTGTGTTTAACTCGATGCAATCCATCTCGTCGGTTGCCCTGAAATAATACATGTTGTAGCATAAATCATCCGACAAATAATAATAGCGTCGTTTCAAAACATACCGCACACTAATAAAACCCCATCCATTAGTCCTGCTGCTGTTACATGGATATACATTTGGCATGGACTAAGTACCTGCATTGCCATCATGACATGGTGCTTTTCAAACTTGTTGATCAAGTCATTGACTGAAATTCGATGGCTGTGATTGTCGTGGGTAATGATGGTGATGAAATGGGTGGCGGCATCAAGGTGCATTGGCACAGGACCATGCGAGCGTATAAAGTGATATTGATCGGGTGTGATGTAATGCTTGACAAGGTCCTGTAGCTGTGGCTCTGCGTTGAAAGGTTTGTCTTTGCGAACAATCAACTGGTGGGCAGGACGAGTAGGTTCTTTAGAATAATCCAGGGGTTGTTTTTGCATTTTGAAAAGGAGTAAAAAGAAAAGAGAGAAAAAGAAAGAAAGAGGAAAGGAAGGAGGAGGAGGTGACCTTTGCTGCATCATGTTTCCCACGGCTGTTGATTTGAAATTTGTGAGTGGTCAGCTGATGTTGCAGTTATGCATAACTTGCTGCTTCCTGGCTCGTGCGATTACCCTTCTTCCCTGCGTCGTTTCCCCCAACCTCCCTCCCCATTCTCACACCTGGAATGAATAGTGTTGTTGTCACTGCTGTATCAAAATATATATTACATTTGTATTGTTGATGAATGCAAGTGCTTTGTAGCCTGCTTTGATGAAGGAAAAGGGGGAGGGGCTTTGAAATGCTTAATATGAAAAGGAATGAAAGGTAGGTAAAGAGACTATTCAATGGACCATCGTCGGTTGTTTGCTTTTTCTTGTCCAATAGGTGTCATTGAATGCGATGAGGCGCCCGTTGCCGTAGCTGTTGCATGTGAAACTTTGTACAAAGAAGGAGTGATTGTTAGCGGAAAAAAAGGGGGGTTCCAAACCATGTTGTTTACTTACTGTGATTGATCAGGCCATGGTTGAAATTGCGTAAACAAAGAATAGACACTGGTACGGATACCACAATAAGCACAATGTCGACGCACACTATAAAGAGAAATGATAAGCATGCAACCCTGATGCCTATTGGAATCATCCAACTACTTACAAAAGAAGGTCAAAAACACTCGAGAGCCAAGGAAACGTTCGGGATCCTGGTAGATTTGGACGAGCAGATAAATGAAATAGCCCATGCTGGTGGCCGCGAATGCATGAAACATGTACATGATGGATTTCTTTTCGCGACGCAACTAGAATGAAAACGTGATAAGCAAAAACCTCCTCCCCACTTGGCGATCTTTTGTGAGATTTCCTTGCTTACCCCCCAATAGGCCATGCATAACATAGCAACGGATACCACGCAACTTAGAATGATATGCTCGATCAACTCCTTGACAATGTTTGATTTGGCTTCATCGGACGTTGCTTCGGGCCACCATGCGACAATGAGCAATGCAAGATACTGAACCGAGAGGGCCAGCAGAAAGAAAAAGTCCAACTTGAGTAACATCATAAAGATTTGATACATTTTGTATCGATCTACATACACAATAATAAGTGATGATGAATGATTGTGATTGTAATTGTGATGATGATGATGGGCATTTACCTCTCATGGCAAGATCAGCACCGATCTTTTTGTAGATATGCCAACCGAATTCCAGGTAGAGCTTGTAGGCAAGGAAGCAAAAGATGATACTGCTTACAATCATGATGCATATCATTGTGATTTCAGCCCATTTTGAAGCATGATAATTGTCACCAAGGAAAGCGACGACCAATTGAAGGTTTTGATCACCGCCGTCAAAGAGAGCCGAAGACTGATGATATTGAATGATGGAGTATGCGCTCATGCCGATCTCAAAGCATATCAAGGCAATCAATTGGATGGTATTTTTTTGGTAGACCTATAAATTACATGCGTGTCAGCTGATCACCAGGAACGGCATCATACTCCTTTCACACACTCCTTGTCTATCTCTCTCTCACTCTCACTTACCGCATCCACCACAAGACCGACGGTGAATACTTGTGCCACCATGAATAGAATAAAATAGACGAGGAGAGATCGGGCATTGGCATAAGCAGCTGTGAGCTCCAAACCATAGCCTTTTTGATCCAAACGTTCGCGATCAATGATGCTGATTTGAGTTGCATGGTAGGAGAAAATCACGGCTTCAAAGATGATGGCAAGGACAGCCTGAACAACAATGGTGATGAAAATAGCGCGTGTCCACCGTGATTCGCCAAACTGTGATAATATGTATCAGTGTGCATGATAAGAGAGAGAGAGATAGGAACCATCATCATGGTGACCACTACTACTACTCACAATGCGTGATATGATCCACATTGCTCTGCTGCTGGAGTTGTATGCTGAAGGGTATCAATAGTAGCGATGTAAGGAATATGCTGTGACCAATGCTGTAATGAGCTGCGGTCGATTCGTTTTTGTTTTACACGTGGGATCCAAGTTTGGTTCAGGTGGAAAGGAATTGACGACAATGGCAGCCGTTTGTGTTGTTGTTGTTGTTGTGTTGGTTTACGAAAAGGAAAGGAAAGAGATAAACGAATATTGCAGAGCACTTTGCAGCAGTGCTGTGCAGGTATGAAAAGCGAGTGTTTAATCGATTGTGTGTGGAAAGAGAGAAAAAACAAGGAGAGAGTACAAATGGGCTATGGATATGGGGGAATGCTCTTTTCAACTCAGTACGTGGTACGAACGAGAAAGGCAGTGTGCTCCTCAAAAGTGATCAATACCAATATCGATTTCAACAAGGTCTTCCATAATTCGAGTCACTGTCGTGCCGATTTGCTTGGTCATTTCTCGTTGTTGTCCAACCGATAATCCAGCAAATTCGAAAATGAGATCACCATCAAGTACTGCTTTCGTGCGATTGGAAGACATGCGTTGTTTGTGTCCCTTGATCAGTCTATGTATCATCACTCTTTTAGGCAACCATCCATCATGTCTACTATATATAAAGACAACTCACCTGAAAGCTCGAGGATTTAATCCTGCCACATGTTGCAACCCATTCACCAGTTGACCATACAATGTATTTAATCGCTTGAACGTCTTTTCAGGAATCGGTGACACAGCTGATATGCTGCCAGAAAAGGATCCTACATTTCTCTCGAGTATGAGGTCGCCTTGGCAACATCCAAATTCTCCCACCATCCCATAAACATACCACATAAACAGAAATGACGTCGGCTGTAATGATACTTGTCGCCCTCTTGTATGACCTGTGGTAAACGTACCATGGATCGTACCTGACCACCCACATGAAAGTCTCCTCGACGTATCAACTTTTGACCCGCAAAGGATTGGAGATCTATAAATAAGCCGTCAACAACGATTTCCTTTTCAGTCATTCATTAATTGATCACTTACTGAAAGGTGCATATTGGAAAATATCCAAATTGTCATCCGTATCGCCAATCAATAAATACATGGACTTGTCGTCAATAAGAAAGTTGACACTGCTCACTTCAAATGACTGATAATCCTTTGCCAAGAGCACCAGCTTTGCAGGCTCCAGCTGGAAACCGAGGAACCAAACGGACTTTTGTGCATCGCCCAGAACAATGAAATTCTTGATAGCGCTTATGCTAGTAACGTAAATCTGTACATCGATAAATGCAACGCCGACCAAGCTTTCGTTGTCCTCGAAACTCCAAATAATGATCTACACCACCCACGTCAGTCTTGAATGTCCGATCATCTCTTATGTCACACACACACACACACGCTTTTTACCTTTGAGCCAATGCATGATACCAAATGACCAATCACATCACATAATGCCGTCACTGCACCCTTCACTTCTTCGGTATGCAAATGCTTGTAGCGGTGGTTGGTCTGTGGGTTGTTGGGTTCAGGAACGACTTCAATAATATCAAAGATTTGGATCTGGAAGGAAAAAGGGGGTCGTCTCAATAAAGAGAAAATGACACATTCATTCACTTTGTTCCTTACCGATCCTCGCATAGCAGTATCTTCGCCACGTAGATAACCAGTGCCCACGGCAATAAAGTGCTTCTTTCCACTCTTTGTTTGCTTCGATTCAAGTACAGCACATTCAAGAGAAAGACCTTGTTCATACTCGTTGAATTCCACCCGATCCACCGTTTCCCAAGTGACAGGAGACACCATGAGCAATGAAAACTTATCCACCGTCGGTAAGAAATCACCTTCCTTGCGTTCATCTTCTTGACCATCCGTCCACGTGCCATCATCATTGCGTAGCCGGACCGGTTTGGGTTCAGAGACAAGAACAGAATAGACGCGCATAACAGGATGATAGGCAACCTTGTGCACTGTTTGATGCAAAGGTACCTTTTGTACCACCCAATCCATATCGTATGTTACATTGTCCACTTGTAAAACAGAAAGGCGCAAGTTGTACTATGAAAGCTCATATAAGTTTTTCCCATCACATCATTGACCACCTCCACAAAATACTTACATTGGCATCTACAGTGATGAAGCCATGCCTGCAATTGACGTTGTGGAATTGTGTAAAGCCAATAATTTCCCCTTTTGCACTCATTGGATGCACACGCACAAAGCTCTTGCATGAACACATGAGCCACACGGGTTGTGGACCAGCCAAAAAGACACCCGTAAAGCCTGCCACATCATTGAATGGTATAAGTCGTCGTCGTTCATCCATCGTTTCCGGCTCTTGATCTTGTTCTGTAGCCGATGTGCCTCGACTTGTTGTTCGAGATACATGTTCATGATGCACACGTGAAAAGCGAAGCGCAAGTCGATCACCTTGTATAGATTCGCTGTGGCAATCGGTCAACTCTTGGTCGCCTTCATGCAATATTTCTCCAGGCTCTGGTAGGTATTGGAATGCCTTGTAGATAACAATGTCGTTCGATTCGGTTCGAACCTTGTCATAGAAAAAAGGTGTCAATACATGATGTGATAGACGCATGGTTCCTCTCACTTACGACAAGATGGGGATCCTTTCTCTCCTTGCCGATATTCGTCAATAAGATTTCCTTGATGCTCGTTGATACATTATCCTCCAATGATAACAAGGATGATTTGCTGGGCGCTGCAGCGTCGGTGGCGTCGCTTGATTTCTGGTCAATGACCAACTTGGATAATGCATCGAAATTGGGTGTTGAAAAGCATTCTTGCAGGTCGTCAAGGCTAAAGAGCTATGTAAAATTGTATTGAGTACAATCCCTTCCCTCCATCAAATTCCATTGTCCCCTACCTTTAAGCAACCATCCGTAGTATATATAATGCACCAATAGCTGATGGGCGTAACGTCTCCCATACCACCTTGGATGCTCACATTAATCTCATCAATGCCTCCTGCTGATTGATCAAGATGGCTGTTGGGTTGTTCCTTGGTCTCATCCCGATATAGCATGGCATCATCATCATCCATTTCAATCGTGTTGTCGCTGGATTTGAGATTGTTGACGGCGACTGATGCTGGTTTTTCTGCTGCTTCAGTTTCATCCTGATCACCATAGAGATCAAGATCCACTTCATCGAAATCCATATCCATGGTATTGCTTGGGCCTGGATACATTTTCTTGACATTGGATGATTCCATGGGATTGTCGTGTGCCTTTCGCTTCTTTTCATTCTCGGCTTTTTGCTTGCTTTGTCGCTGTAATTGCCTCTCTGATACAGAGGTAAACAACCCCGATGTGTCAACGAATAAGCTTGCCATGGACACTTTTTTCTTCTATGATTCTTGTCAGATTTCAATCCTGCCACTTTGAATCGTCTTTTACTTACAGTGAGATGTGATGGTAAGGTAATAGGAGACAATTGCTTGCTTGAACTATCGCCTTGGAATAGCATGATGGCACCATTCTCGAGCTTCAACAACACATAGGGATCACTGATACTGGCATCTACAATCCTTGCTTGCTTGACGTGAACCGTTTGGATAAGTTTGCCGCCTATAAAAATGATTAATACTTTTTATCTCAATGTTGATAGGGATCCAACCTCTCACCTGGTGAAAGAAGGAGTGCAGCATTTGCATGGATTTGAACTATCCGGGTATGATCAAACAAGGTTCCAACATTGACGGTGGGTCCAGCTGTGTAAAAGTCGGCATTTTCCACTTGTTGAAATTCTTCACCCGTCGCAAGTACCTTAGAGATAGGATACATTAGAAGAAGCACAATGACCTATCATTATCGTCACTTACCAAAGTACCCTTGGGTTTACTAATAAATAAGAACTTATCCAAGAGATCACCCCAAGTTTGTTCGCCATTCCATGTATTCTCAGGAACAATTTGGCCTGATAGATCCCACGCTGCTCCTGTGCCACTTTGATTCATGTTGCCGCCTACTTGAACGCCTTCAAAGTATTGTTCCTTGCGACATTTGACTGACCATACTGCTTGGCATCCTTCTTGGTTGAATGTGAATGTTGTTTCAGGTCTAATATGGCGTTGAAATACGCACAATGATCCATTTTGGCCGTATCCAGAGCAGCTGACAAGCTCAAGATCGGGAAGTGCGTTCAATGGCGTGGATTCTTCATCTTGTAACGGTTCATCCTGACCAATGGCCATATCAACAATAGGTCCAGTATTCAAGAGCCGGTCGCACACACGAAAGTCATAATCATCCTTGCGTGATCCAGTATCAAGATTCCATTTCACCAAGAGTGAATCACCCACACGGCTTCCCAAGAACAAATACTCGTTGTCTCGAATGCTGGCAACACAAGAGGGGACCATGGCAAGGGGTGCTGTGTGCTGATGCTCCTTTTGGATATCTGGATCGGACCAAGCAATCTTATCCAAATCCATACCAACGACCTTGTTACCATCCAACTTGACCTTGACAATGACCCAATCGCCATTTTGAAGAAATAATAAACAACGTGCACCACTAAGCGCAAGTGCCTTGACGCCATCAAGAGCCAAACCGAGTGCAACCGTTTTTTCATCATAGATCATGCCTCGAAAATCTGTGCTTGGCTTGACAAATCCATTCACTGCAACACCCACTCCTGGTGATCCTTGCGCCACATGTAAAATCGAATTGCTTGCAAGGACAAGTAAACCATTCACTGGTTTGGGCATTGGGACAAGACGACGGCAGTCATAAGGAAGATTGTCGATCGAGTAAATAACAGGATAAATCCTTGCTGTCAAATCGAGAGAAATAACGACCACCGATACGGTATCTTTTACATTGGCTAAACGACTGTTTTCTTATATAAGTATATACCATAATGATGATGATGATGATGATGAATCATCCCCACTTACCCTGTCCATGTAGGTTCTGTTTCAAAAAGGATGGCCAAGGTGGGTTCATAGTAGTCGCCAAGAAACGTCATATCAATCACATTCTTGATCCGCTTATCAATCGACTCGAGATCAATCACAAAGCTTGAGGAATACGGCCATTTCCTAGCATAGAGCATGATCGTTAGTGGTGATGATGGATGATAATAGACCCCAAAGACAAAAACTCACTCTTGATTATAATCTTTGTTGGATTCATCGAGCTTATCCGATTGTCGAAAAGGAAGTACTGCAAGCTTGTCGCCATAGAAATTGAGCACAGCACATCGTTGTTGTGGATCAATGTGGATATCGGTTGGATATGGATTGCTCAAGAATTCTTTCTATTAAAGACATCCCATTCAATAATGATGATTCCCTCTCCTTTTTTTCTCATCATCTTGTACCTTGTATTCATCTCGTTCATAATAATGTATTGATACAGTAACAATTGAATTGGTAGTGGGAGACCATTCAAGCAAGGACATCTACACATTGGTTCAACCGGTTGAGTTATGACATTTTTATTTAGTAGCATGATGAGTCCTACTTTTGCATCATTGAAAGCGAGAAGCAAGCTGTCGCATCCTTGTTTGCCACGAGGAGAAGAAGTGCGCACAACACCCATCGAAGATACATTGCCATTCAATTTGTATTGAGCCACAAGTTCCAATCTTGCCGAAGATGTATCCAGTAACCCATTCTTGGCCGGTCGTAGTTGAGGATACACAAGACCCTAAATGGAACGAGGAGGGAGGCATTTAGGATGATGATGATGCTGCCGTCAACCCATTCAAGGTGTGTGATGTAATACCTGTTCTTCATCCTCACGTGTCCCTAATCGATTCTGTGTATCCAAATCGTTCTCTTCAACATTGTCTTGGGTGTTGTCTACGTTGTTGGCGTCGGCGGTGGTGTTGCTTTGTGGTACGTATTCGATAAAGTTGTAGATCTGCAATAAGGATGCTTTGGCGACAATGAGATTGATCGTGTCCGGTGAAGTGAACTGGCCGCGTTGGACATGCTCAACCGTTTGTGGTGGGAACAACTCTTTGTAGATCGCGTACGCAGACATTGACAACAGGAGGAAGCGGCGGCGATGACGACGAGAGAAAACGAGAGGAAAAAGAGGTAGGTCAAGAGGTCAAACAGCAGCTCGCACCAGTCACTTTCATACTTATCTCTTTCTCTCTCTCTTTATCCTTCCATTCACCCATGAGCTCACAGCACTTTATACCCCCAGTGGTACGCGTTCATTTGCAATCGACAAACGCCAATTTAACAGTGGACTAGAACTTTGGCATGATTGAAGAAGATCTATATCGGTCTGGCCAGCCAAACGAGCTCAACTTTCCCTTCCTTGAAAAGCTTGGTCTTAGGACGATTGTATGGCTTGCTCCAGAAGAACCCAATCAACGCTTGTAAGCATCATGCATTATACCTAAGATGTATAATCTCATGCTGTCTTTTTTTTAGTCTCGACTTTATCGATGATCAAGAAATACAATTACACCATTTAGGCGTGGTATCATCAGTTAATGCGTGGGATCCAATCACTGAAGAAGCTGTTTTGGAGGCGCTTGATTTGATATTACAACCAAGCAATTATCCAATGATGATCATGTGCAATCTTGGTCGCCATCGAACAGGTCAGCTAATCAACATGAATACATGCAGGATATGCGTTTGACCTTTCTCCATAGGCACTATTGTAGGATGCCTTCGAAAGTTGCAACGATGGAATTTGACATCTATATTTGAGGAGTATCGACGCTATGCAGGTCCCAAAGTACGGTTGCTCAACGAACAATTTATTGAATTATTTGATACGGATCTAGTGCGTGTCCCTAGTAATAAACCTAGTTGGCTATAATATGGTAGAGTCTCTTAATTCCTCATCCTTGATGTTTTACTACTCTCGAGCTATTATTCTCATTCAGCATATGCTTATCAATAAACTCGATGAATGGTTTCTCAAATTCTTTAACATGTCTTGAAGAGAGCTACATACATTCTCCCTGGTGCTTTATTATGGTTGAGTAACAAAAGCAAGTTGCGTGGTAACTGACAACAAGTTTCCATGGAAACCGCTGGGCCAACAAGCGAGCGAAATTTGATGCCGCTACCAAGTGACGTATGATCAAAACAAAAAGTGGTTACCCAACCCACCAGTCATCAATTTCACTCCTTCACTCTCCCCACTCTGCCTCGATATGGTTGCCTTGTCGCGCACCCTCGCATCGGCTCTTGCTAGACGCTCGTTCAACACTTTACCTGCTACCTCGCAGGCTGTCAACAGCGCCATGCGCCTTACTCCTACCCAGGACAATGGTACATTTTGAGATTCTCTCTCTTTTCCCTACTACTACTTTTTATATGCATTGGAACACACGCTGACCGTTCGATCTGGTGATATAGGCAATGCTATTCAGATGCGCAACAACCACACGACCGCCATTCCCGATTTCTCAAAGTACAAAAAGAACAACACCAGTGGAGACGCTAGCCGTTCGTTTGCGTATATGATGGTCGGTACCACCGGTCTTGTTAGTGCTGCTGGTGCTCAGGCTACTGTCAGTGACTTTTTGGCCAACATGTCGGCTTCGGCTGATGTCCTTGCTTTGGCCAAGGCCGAGGTTGACTTGAATGCTATTCCCGAGGGCAAGAACGTCACCATCAAGTGGAGAGGCAAGCCTGTCTTTATTCGTCACCGTACCGCCGATGAGATTGCTGAAGCCAACGATATCAACGTCCAAGACCTTCGTGACCCTCAAACTGATGCTGATCGTGTCAAGCGTCCCGAATGGTTGGTCATGTTGGGCGTTTGCACTCACTTGTAAGTAAATTCATCATCAATGCAAAAAGAGAGAGAGAGATGGATATTGATTACTTTTTATCAGGGGTTGTGTTCCTATTGGTGAAGCTGGTGATTATGGTGGTTGGTATTGCCCTTGCCACGGTTCTCATTATGATATCTCTGGTCGTATCCGTAAGGGCCCTGCTCCTCTCAACCTCGAGGTTCCTGGTAAGTTATTATTATTCTATTTATCCATCCCCAAACTCTTTCTGATCCACTCTCTCTCTCTCTCTTTCTTTCTTTTCCTTCTTTAGAATACTCTTTCCAAGAAGATAAGCTTATCATTGGTTAAGAACCGGGATTCATCATCACCACCAATACATAATAAAGTACACATCTTAGAGCCAGAAAAACTCCGTGTTTCTTCATTGCTTTTCTTCTCTTCATCCCACCCCCTACTCTTTTATACGCGTGTCATGTCTCTCGTTAAGATATACAGTGGTTTAACTACTATTCAATCGGCTTCAGCAGTCGTGTTTTCTACCTTTGTCGCAATTCACGGTGCTCAAGTTGCCGTTGCCACCATTGGTGGTCCTGACATGTCGAATCGTTGGCTACTACTCGGTCGTCCATTTTACCAAGACCAGCATTTGGAAGGCATACTTGTATCTGGTGCAGCGGTTGTTCACGTTTTAGCTGGCGTGGCAAAAGCTGGTATACGCGGCTATTGGGGTCAAAAGAACAACAACAACAACACGACGACACTACTTCCCTACCATCATATGGTTGGCTATGCACTCGTGCCAGTGATATGGCTTCATTATGATCTTGTGCGTACACTCCCTGTGCGTTATTTTGGTGATTCAGCCATGTTGGACTTTGGCCACATTGCGTGGGGTTTGCAGAATTGGCCCTTATTCACGTATACATTGCATGGAACCCTTATTGGCACAGCAGCATACCACATTGTCAGCGGCGCTTCACTAGCATATCAACGTACCTTTAAACGACGACGATCCGAAAAAGCATCATCATCATCGTCCTCGATCTATCGTCCACATAAAAAGATGGCTACAGCTGCCACAATCGGTCTCGTCTTGCTATCAGGTCTCTTCATTATCGGTCGTCAAACCAAAAAGATTCCCTTACGTTTTGAATACGAAGCCATTTACAAAATGCTGCTTCCTAATTAATGATCAACTCTGTAATTTATCAGTATAGAATAAAAAACAATGAGCAATGTAATGAAAATAAGAGCTGAGGGAATGGTGGTAGAGATACAACATGATACAAGGACAAGAGTTTTCGCGAGAGGGCATGAGGCAAAGTGAAAAGCGGCATTGAGGAGAGTGTAGGTTAATGATATAGAATGAATGGACACCACGCATGAATTTTGAACATCACCGTTGTGGCTGCAACATGCATCTTATAAGAATCACGTGCAAGTGCCATCCTTGACATGATGCTGATCTAGTCATTGTTCGACCCCACCCCGATGATAATTCTCGTCTCCATCATCTTCTTCACAAGCTTTTCTCGTTGACTCTAATGGCGGTGCACTCTTTTCTGTTTCAGTTGATAATAGCTCATTGATGATTCTTTTATATGGTTTGGGATGCTGTGAATGAATGTGTATGCTAACGTATACCAATAAGAGATATCGGATAGATGAGAGGTATTGGCCCAATGAACTACTACAAGTGATGGCGAGGTGAACTTGGCGATTTCCTTCAATCGAACGAGAAAACAAGCGCTGGCTTACCTCGTTTTCAATCCAATGCGTATTCATCCGTAGTGAACCAAATCAGCATATCCTCTTTTTCCCAACAAGCTTGCGTTTCATATCATGCTGCCTAGCAACGGTACCTCTTGCATCACGAGAAGATAACAATTCCTTCTTCACAGCTAAAGGAAAAAGTTAGCCGTAGCCTACCATCTCCATAACCTACATAACTTACCATCGTGCATCGATTGCTGATCCATCAAACAGTCCCTCAACAACCCCAGATACGTCGAGTGATATTGGCTTCTTCTGAACAATCAAGGAGGGTAGATAAAAATGCTGATCCAATGCGCGAGTAAAAAAGTGTGGCACATCCAATGTAGCTCTCATTGGGGGAAACGTACTTGATGAGAGACTTGAAAAATTGAATTGATAGTGGGCATACCTTTTCCTCGCTAGTTTTGGGATAGTCCACCACATCACCATCAGCCTTTGAGATTTTGACAGCTCGCAATGATTGTATTTCCTCGGTGCTTCCTCTCCGTATGATATGTATCTTGTAGCCATCCTATCAATCCAAGATCCATATATCCATAATATAGAGGAGAATGCAATATGAGTACATGATCCATCAAGCAATATGACTAGGCTTTACCTTGTCACAAGGATCCAACATCGCAATGATGACCACAACAATGAAACCTATGAATGAACATAAAGGTCAGCTCTCATTCACAGGGTTAATGTCCACAATGACCTACTCACATCAACTAGGATTTTGAGAGTGCCAGCAATCAAAGAGCATAGAGGAAAATGGTGGGCACGCGACAACATCCTTCTTATTTTTGTGATCGCATAGAATGATGAGCGTATCGTTGAGAAGATAATCCATTGATAAATTGGTGCATGAGCTGATGCTGTGCCCCATACCATCCGTTGCTATGGGTACTCTTGCTGCCATCATCTTCTTTGTTGGGCTGCTGCTGTTGCTGATTGCTGATATCGTCTTGAAAAAGCCTCCTTGTCAAAGTCGTTCGTTGTAGACCAAGATCAATATCACACCATGTCCTTCAACTCCAACCGGTGACCTGTGCATCGTTTACTTGAAGCGTCTCCTTTGACATGGAAGGCTACTAATGGGTTGTTCAATGTAAGTTGCAATGTTGCATTGAAGCTGCGTGACCAAGCTCTTACTTCAAAGGCTCATTTATCGCATTCAGTGTCCTTGATTCCCAAAAGCCAAAGGTTGGCTTGGTACTCGTTTCCTCGTTGGTGGCAAACGTAAAGAAGGATGGTATGTTGGAACACTACCCCGATTTTCTTTTGCAGCAGTCGCAGTTGTTACACCAGCTTCATGCACAATGAATCAAAGCAAGAACAAAAACAATGGCCACCAGCATTCAGATGTTCCTTCATGTACACTAGCTAGAGACATACTTTACAGCTGGCTATCTTTACTACTTGCACAATAGCTTGCCTTACGCAATCCATGCAAACACGGTTCAAATAAAGCTATTCTTCAATCTTTTCATACATGGTTGTACCCAAATCACTGTGCAACTGAATTGGGATGGGGCATGCGCGGTAAATGATCGTTTTGATATCCAAAAGCGTGTTGGCGATGTACAGCCAGTAACCGATAACCGTTGAATAGCTGCTTTAATGAGGAAGAAGTGTTGGATGATGGAGCTTGGTCTATGAATCAAAAAAGTATCATGCAACCTTTATTCTATATACAAATGAATGCCATTAGTGATAATCACTTGAGAACGAAGCGTGATCATATAGTTGTTGAAGGGGACCAGGTGGGATATCCACTGCTCTTTAGTCTTTACATTTCTGAGCTCGAAATTAAATGGTGGAAATCCAAGTGATTGTAACACCAGAACATGATATTGACCTTTGGCTCTAAATTGCCAAACATTGGCCTCCCATAAAATTTCAACAAGCACACCATTGAATAGAGGGTATGCTCCGCTGCATTATGCAGTTTACTACATGTCCGTAGGACGCAGTTTTTGTTTTCCAAATTAGGAAATTTCTATCTCTATCATGCTGTTTCAACATTGTTTCAAATGTGGAAAGAAATGGTGAGGTGGCCGAGTGGTCTAAGGCGGTAGGTTTAGGCCCTACTATCTTCGGATGCGTGGGTTCAAATCCCACCCTCATCAACATGTTTTGATCGATTGTCGCAGGTCACGTGACCTGGTTTTTGCTGGTTTTCTTAAAGCCCTTTTTCTTTTAATTGTAGCAACGTATGGAATCTTCTTGATTGGTATTATCTTTTGCATACAACGATCCATCTCTTTCACGATGCGCCAAACGTTTTTACTTCGCCAAACCCATATCACTTAGTCCCATCCAACAATCAAATAGCGGACCATCTTATAGAACAAGTCATTACCTTATATTCTCTTTATTCATTGTCGTCTATTTTGATTCGTGTGGTATTATCATCCTTTGTGGTCATCTTCTTGTGTGATCTCATAACTGCGTGGACATCTTCTAAATCTCGTATGTGGATCCAAAAAGAAAACGACATGTTTTAGTTATATACGACGCATGATGTAGCGCTATAGTTATTATGGTGGTGGTGGGAGTGGATGGTGTATAAAGTACAGGAGATTGGGTGGAATGACATCCATTGATGGCTGTCGCAAAGAAAAATCATGCCGATCCAAGTCCGATTGCTGACAAGACAACCAAGTACGTATATCGCCCTGGCGTATCATATGGATAATACTGTAGGATGCAGGTATTGTTGCATGTACATGCAGTTGGCATGGAGACATGTGGGCATGTGGGTGATGCTGGTTGACATGTAAGTAACCAAAATTGGACAATGAAAATGGGCGGAGGAGTCTCCTCTTTCTATTTGACACCAACGAGGAAATGAGGTACCAAGCCAAGCTTTCGACTTTGAGAATCAAGGATACTGAATGCGTAAATGAGCCTTTGAGGTAAGAGCTTGGTCACGCAGCTGCAATGCAACATTTCGACTGACATTGAACAACGCATTAGCCTTCCATGTCAAAGGAGACGCTTCAAGCAAACGGTGCACAGCTTACCAGAGGGGATGAAGGACATGGTGTGATATTGATCCTTGGTCTACAACAAACGACTTTGACAAGGAGGCCTTTTCAAGACGATATCAGCAATCAGCAACAGCAGTAACCCAACAAAGAAGATGATGGCAGCAAGAGCACCTATAGCAATGGATGGTATGAGGTATCTTTACGACCCGTTGTTCCTGCTTTTCGTGCCTCGAGACAAGAGCGCTCGGTTTCCACTAGGCTCAAGTTGCTATGGAAGGAATGTATGAATCAACTTAATATACAAGACACATTGACAATGCCCCTTTCTTTGTCCAAGACGTCTGACATGATCCAATTACTGCGAATGATTCGATGATGGGAGGAAATAGCAATTAGAAATGACAAGCATAGTTGTGCATGGATGTAGATGATGCTGTTGTAATTTTAGAACTATCATTGTACTCCCTTAAGTACCCATTAAGTTAATACAACGTACATCGATAAGGCGTGCTTGAATGTGGATACATGTAAAGGGAATGGTGTCAATTGGTGGTGTAAATGGGACATAGGTAGCCACTAGTACATTACAAGCAAAGGATAAGGAACACCAAATTAATTACACGGATCTCATCAATCATAGCTTTTCAAGGAAGTATATAATAATCCACATGGCCCATCTGCAATGGTAGGGATGGCTTCTTGGGGTTGGCTAATGATATAATGACTTTTCGTCCCATCATTGGTACTTCAATTGTCAAAGATAGCTGGTGGTGTGTGAATGTAGTAAAAATAAAACGTATGTCGATTGAATGATAGTAGGGAGCTTCATCAAGGAGGATGTTGTTTTGAAGAAGGGCTGATGGCTTACTACCACCATAGACCAAGTAGCCAACTTGATGGACGAGTGATGATGCTGCGATCCAGCCGATTTGCCGACCCAAGGTTGCCAACCTTCAAGTTGCGGGGATGATAGTCATTTTTAATAGCATCTTTCTACGATCCTTGTAGTATTTTGCAACCCGGGGCAAGGTGGGGTCATACAGCGAATTATTCCGAAGATGCGTAGATGTGGGGTATGCTGTCAACATATGACAAAACGTAATCGGTGATACAAGTATTACTGGCAATGCAGCTGCTTTGTCTCTCTCAATCTTTTGTTGATGACCATGCTATAGCACAGCTATGTAGTATAGCATCATCCCATGTCACAATATCCCCAATGTCATCCCTTTTTAGTAGACTTGATTATGCCTCAAATCAGTGTATATCAAAATGCTATATGTCATAAAGGTATCTGGTGCAGTCACCATCCTAAAAGCACTTGTCCCACATTGTATGTGAATCAAGTGATCCATTTCATCCATCTTGAACTTGACGGAAAAAAACTGTGCATCCATCATCAATCAGCAAATGCATTCGTGTGAAAATTTGATACACATCGTAGCTTGAAGAAGGATTCATGACCATCGTCGCGAACATACAGCGTATAAACGGAGGTTCTCGTGATGATGTCTCATTAGCTGAAATGGGCAATGAGACGAAGGCTGAGCAAGGTATCATCCCTTACTCCGCATTGATAATGGAATCATAGATTATATATTAACGTCAAATAACCGGGAGCACTACAAAGAGTTAGGGAAGGGCTTTTCTTGCTTATCTCACGGTGAATTGGCCAATGTAGAGGCTATTTTCATGGTTGCTATGAGACATGTCCCACAAAAACCAAATCGAGCTTATCTTTATATGGCGTATGCTGGTATTGGCGGGACGTCCAAAGCGGGCAAATATCGCCATTAAATACGACTTATGCGGCACACGTCTGTGCAACCCTTCTCAATCAATCAAAACACAAATCAGTATCACGAACCCCACGTCCAGGAACCAAAGACCGCTGTGTCACGCTGGTTTTGATTTCGGGGAAACGTTAAATGTCGTTTTGATCCGACAAAGCATAAGCATGTGTCAAAAGAAACCGCTATCGAGATCCACGAATGACTCAAAATCGAAGAGCGTCATCATAATGACCACTGTCATAGTCGTAGTGGATGATGATTATACTTGTCTTGAGAAGCGTGAGTATCTTGGATGGCCAATTCTCTATCACAATGGATTTATCATTATACATGATATCGTTCTCACCCAACCACCCATCATGGTTACTGGGTGACGAAAATGGCTAGCATCGGGAAAAGATACGGTTGATGTTGCATTCGTATTATGGACCCTAACGTAAAACGTGCGAGTAAAAAAAAAGGTATAAAAGCATCAAGGATCGGTTTGCTTCTCAAACGCTCAAGGGTATTATCATCTTATCATGAAACTTTCTACTTTGTTTGCTGCCAGCTTGTTCGCACTTGGCGTCACTGCAAAGCCTATCAAGGGCAACCAAAACGGCATTGTTCCCGGCAAGCACTATGATCGTATCTTTATCATTTATCACGAGAACAAGGATTACGATGATGTCCAGGCTGATGATTACTTCCCCACCATTGCCGAAAACCACAACGGTAAGTTGCAACCTGTAGATGGTTATGATGTACTCACCTTATTGCATTGTAGGTGTTGTGTTGACCAACTATCATGGCGTTACTCATCCATCGCAACCCAACTATGTAAGTATGATGAAAGGAATCAAATGGGAAAATTGGCTCATTATTTCATGTACTACGTATGTAGGTTGCCTTGATCTCTGGTTCTATCGAAGGCATCAACCGTGATAACAACTCTGACGTTGATCGTCAATCCATTGTGGACCTTTTGGAGAAGAAGGGTATCTCTTGGAAGTCGTACCAACAAGGCTATCCTGGTGGTTGTTTCAAGGGCGAGGAAAGCGGCACCTACCGTCGCAAGCACAACCCCTTCATGTCGTTCACCAATATCCACAATGATGAAAAGCGTTGTGCCAACATTGTTAATGCCGATCAGCTCTATGATGATATCAAGACTAACAGCGTTCCTCAATTCGTGTGGTTCACTCCTGATGTAAGTATTGGGCAAGTTGGGCTATATGTTTACATACAAAGATTAACATGGATGATTTACTTTTAGATGAACAATGATGGCCATGGTAAGACCCTGCATTTTCGTATCCTTGGATTGAGGTTTACTCACGCATTGAATAGATACCGATCTTGCTTACTCCTCCAACTGGACCAAGAGCTTCATTGAGCCCCTCATGAAGGAAAAGAACCTTACCAAGAATACCTTGTTCGTGCTTACTTGGGATGAAAATGACACCTGGACCATCCCTAACCAAGTCTACACTGTTCTTTTTGGCCCTGCTGTCAAGCGCTCTGTTAAGACCGATGACACCGCTTATAACCATTACTCGGTCTTGAGAAGCGTTGAGGAGAACGTAAGTATTAAAAGCAATAAGAGAAGTGTAAAGTTTTATTCATTCATGGCTATTAGTGGCATCTTGGCAACCTTGGTCTCAATGATCTTAACCATACCGCCATCCGCGTCAAGGACAACTGCTAAGCAGTTACATTTGTATTATCATTATCTTATTGCAGGCTACAATAAATGTACATGTACTTTTATCAAAATTGGTTCACTTTTGCCAAAGTTGAATTGTTAGCATGCATGATCCACTTTTGCTCCTTTATGATTAAGCTATCCCACAAACCTTTGTTCCTTCCATTGTACTATGCATCACGAGGATGAGCTATGCTCACTTTAGTTAAAGATCCCATCCTTCAAGTAAATCATTCGCTCTCGCATGAAGCTGCTCATCCGATTATTTGCATCACTATAAGATCCCACATTCAAACTTGATATTGCCTAGGATTATGCCCACACATTTATTTTGCAAAAAAGGACATAAAAGTGAGATGCTGCTGCTGTAGTAGCAATTTAGCGGTAGCGACGAAGGGAAAGAGTGTTGCGTCTCTTCCAGTTGGAGTAACGACCAGCACCCTTGGTCTTGGTGTACAAGTGACCCTTGCCCTTACCACGGCTCTTCTTGCCAATGGAGGTAAGACCACGGGCTTCACGGCGCTTGTGAACGGGGTTGACGATCCAGTTGATACGGGCATCACGACGAATAGCCTTATGGGAGGGGTCAACAAGGATAACTTCAAAGTACTTGTAGGTAGCATCTTGGTTGATCCAGTAAGAGTTCAAGACACGAAGGTTGGCACACTTGCGACCAACACGTTCTTCGGCAGTGGAACGAAGGGAACGTTGGTACTTGAGTTGGCTAACACCCTCGTTGACAGGCTTGCCATAGGTAGCACCCTTGGGAACAGGTCTCTTGCGGCCACCACGACGAACACGGATACGGTAGATAACGTAGCCTTGCTTAGCCTTGTAACCAAGACGACGAGCCTTATCAGGACGAGAAGGGCGGGAAGCACGATGGCACACGTTCAATTGACGGTATTCCCAGCAACGAACACGCAACAAGAAACGGAAGACATCAGATTGCTTCTTGCGGTAGAGCTCCTCGAGATACTTGTAGGCACCCATGATCTGAATGGAAGTCGAATGTGAGTGTCGAATGTACAAGGAGATCCCCAATCCATCTTCCTATCAATCCATCCATCCCATTCACGCATTCATCCATCCATCGTAATCAAAGACGAATGCACTCCTATCCCATCATCCATCCATTGTCATATCCATATAGCGTACCTTATGTTCGAGAAAAGAGGAGGATACAACAGCTGTGCGAGGTTGCAGCCCAAATTGGCAATCGCTCTGTTTCACCGCTAATGATTGGATACCGTATGCTTTAACAAACTTGTTGCTATGCCAACGTATTTATACCCCATTCTTATTTCATACATAAAGGGTTCGTTGTTATATCATTTGGAAATCATTCCATATCTTTATTCATGTCGTTGTATCATAAGCGATTATGGGCCATTGTTTCTATTTGTTGTTGCTGGTGATATGCCGATCATGCGACCGCGTGTCGGGATTATTGTATCCTTAGAGTGGAGTGAGTTTCATCTCCTTTCAGCGCCTCTTCTCTTTGTGTGCTCGACCATGAACCGATAACTGCAACCATTACGCCACAGACATGAATGCCGACGACTTGACCACCTTGACGACTTTTAATTTCGACGTTCCTGAAGGCGACAACAGTGACGAATGGGGACTCTACCAGGTCTTCAACAAGTTCAAGGCTGCTGTTTCGGGACAAACACCTGCCAATGCTTCAACACACAGCGATGAGGAATTGCGGTCCACTGGTAATTAACCTTGGCTCTTGCAAAGACAATGAAGGAATGCTGATAAAGATATGGGCTATAGAATCAACGGCAGGGTCAGAGCAAAGGCATATTTTTGTTACTACACCCACACCACCCGCTTCTTGCAAGAGCTCCACTTGTACTATTGGATTGCCTACCCAAAGCTCTATACGAGCCCCATCATCTACAGCAGTAACCACGGTGACGGCATCAGCAGTGCACGAGGATGATGTCAGCCGACAACAACAACAGCAACAACAGCAACAGGATGAAGGAGATGACTATCTTGGCCAACCTATCAGTAAAACGGCTTCGATTGATAGCGACACACATTCAGTATCCACCACATTTTCCATATCCACTTCGCATTCATTGAGTCGCATCATTGCTCGACTTCGAGGCCAAAAATCAGACAAGGAGTTTTGGATGTCAGATGAACAGTGCAAGGAGTGTTACAAGTGCCGTAAGCCTTTCAAGCTACTACGAAGACGACATCATTGTCGCATTTGTGGTATGTGTGTATATGCATATGTATATGTATGTTTCCCACGACCCCATCCCACTCACTTTTCCCTCTCCCCTTTCATTTCAGGGCAAATCTTTTGTGGCAAGTGTGCATCTCATACTATCTCGGGTCAGCTTTACAACCAAAAGGGAGAAGTTCGTGTATGCAACTTTTGTTTCCGAGAGCATCACATGGGACGAGATGCAAGTGGAGAAACAGCAATGAGAAGCATTGATCCATTACCCGAACATCAATTATTACCACACAATGCATCCGAATCAGTGACAATCATTCCATCTCAACCACCACCAAGCGCACCACCCAAAATGCATATACCCACTCCCACTGTAAAACATCCCAGCAGTCTCAGTCAACAATATGGGGATTCCGATGCAACCACTGTACAACTAGAGATCACTACCGATGCATCCAGTCTACATGATCATCCAAGGCCTTCTTTTCAAGCGAGCAATACTACTACTGGTGCTACTACAATTGCTGGTAGTAGTGGTGGTGGTGGTACCTTGTCACGTTCAGGATCCATTTCAGCAACAGCACCAGGAGGCATGAGTGATGTGGATATGGAACAAAATGGAGATGGTGGCTTACGACGATTGTTGGATGCGAGTGCATCATTATTGAAATCTTCTCGGCCACGTTCAAATACATCATCGACAGTGGTGGTGGAAGATCCTCGGCATGTTAATTCCAACCATGGTTCGCCTTTGCCTTTTCAAAGCAATTCGTTACATGATCGTGGTGGTGGAATGTTGGTGGCGGATCGAGAGCTTAGTCCATTCATGAGTCATGGTGTCACCGACGAAGAAGAGGAGGATGATATGGAATACCAGCTATATGATCTTTATAGTCGGCCAGCAAGCCATCCTGGTGGTGCATCATTTCGAATGCCATCCTCTGGATCAAATCAATCACAACCTGTGATGATCAACAAGGTCGACTCAGCTACCTCTGTCAACATGCATGATGCAGTGGATAGTGATGATGAGGCATACGACAATCGTTTACGTTTAAAGCGCACGGAAGAATTACGAGGTGTGGGACCTGAGAGATCATTATCCTTGAGACGACAAAGCATTGGCAGCTATCGTTCTGGATCAAGGTCAGCAACTGCACAGCATCGACATAAGGGTATCAGGATCAATACATCCAATCTTCCAAAAGCGGATTATGCATTGTTACAAAGCGAAGGATGGTCTCCTGCTCCATTCATGTCTCCCTTTGATGACAAGTACGCGAACACCCCCTTTGAGCACACTGCATTCAAGTCGAGATTTTTTGGGCCGCGTAGTCGAAGGATATCAGCTCCACCACCGAATGTAGAGCTTAGTTATGGTGCTCTTTTACATGCTCGTCGAATGTTGCGGCAACTTATGGCTGATGCTAGTTTCTCAAGTCTCTCCGATCAAATGAAATCCGATTGGGAGGGGATCATCACCAACTTGTTGCTCAAAGTCACCGACAATGTGCGTCCTGATGTACGATCGGGTGATGACATGGATATCCGGCACTATATCAAGATCAAAAAGGTGCCTGGTGGTCTTCCATCTGACAGCTTTTATGTTAAGGGTGTCATGTTTACGAAGAATGTGGCCCACAAGCGGATGGTGCGTAACATCTCTCAACCTCGTATCTTGATTCTACTCTTCTCATTGGATTATTCACGTGTTGAAATGGAGAACCAGCTCATGTCCATTGAACCGGTGATTACTCAAGAAAGGGAACACATCCGCAAACTCGTCAATCGCATTGTTGCTTTGCGTCCTTCCTTGCTGCTTGTCAAGTCCACAGTGTCACGTGTCGCTCTCGAATACTTGTTGGAAGCCAACATCCCTGTTATTCACAATGTCAAATACAGCGTGATAGAGGCTGTGGCAAGGTGTACTCATGCAACCATTGTCACATCAGTGGATAAGTTACAGCTTGGAAGCTTGTCATTGGGCCATTGTGGCACTTTTGAAATACGCACGTTGATACATGAGTGGATACCCAATCGCAGAAAGACATATTTGATTTTCGACGAGTGTCAGCCTGATCTCGGTGGTACCATTGTTTTACGTGGAGCAACCAATGAGACGCTTCGATTAATTAAGCGGCTGATTGATTTTATGGTGTTTGTGGTCAACAATCTCAAGCTGGAGACATCCTTATTGCGTGATTCATTTGCAAAGAATCGTAGCCTCGATCAGCAAGATAGCAAAAGCAAGGATGATTCACCCATATCACCGGATACTGAAGCAGAGGAAAAGGGAGCAACATTTGCATCGGCATCAATTCAGGATATGGATACCTCCGTCAACAAATTTATTCATCTCTACCAAGACACCGTTTTATCGGCATCACAATTTGTTGTCTTTCCAAAACCTTATCTATTGACATGCCTCAAGGAGACCAATGACAAGCTGGCAACATTGGAAGCTTCTGCTGCAGCTAGTTCATCGCCAAGCGGGAAAGCTGAGAGACAAAGCGTCAGCAGCAATACCGATCACCCGCCACATCCATCCTTTGACGGGGAATATGAGCATTTGGTAGCAAGGAGGAATCAGCTGGCGCGTGCATGGGCAGCTTACGTTCGAGAGAGCATCGACCACATCAATCCATTTTATCACCAAAACATCATGGTGCTGTATTCCAATGTCTGCACCATCACCACTGTACCATGTCAAGGTCCTGAAATTCGCATCTTTGAGTATTATTGTCCACCTGGTGATAAGACACTCGGCCAATACATATCCGATCTTTGTCGTGACGCATTAGAATCATGCCCTTCGTCCATGTGTGAGCATCCTGTGCATCATCATTACAAGTCCTATGCTCATGGGAATGCACGTATCAATGTCATGATCGAAAGCTTTCCATGTCCTCAGTCTGGGATGTCCGACAAGATATTGATGTGGAGCTATTGCAAGGAATGTGAGCAACCTACGCCAGTGACCCCAATGTCTGAGAATACGTGGAATTACTCGTTTGGCAAATTCTTAGAGATTTGCTTGTATCAACGAGGAGTACAATGCCGTGCCGATATTTGTCCTCATGACATTGGGTTGCATCATGTACGTTACTTTGGATACAAGGATTTCGCTGTTCGATTCCAATATGAGCGTATCGATTTGCTGGAAGTGGCGCCTCCTCCCATGAAGCTATTTACGCTGAGCCAGGTCCAAATCGATCTCAAGGAGAACGAGTTCAAGACGTTGCGTAGCAAGATTAGCCGATTTTATCAATCCATCATTGAACGAAACAAGGCATTTCCTTTTGATTTGGTGGATCCACGCAAGTTGGAAGCATGCAAGGCTGAATTGCAAGAGATCTCGCATCGATCGGATAGCGAAAAGAAACAAGTATTGCAGATTCTTCAAAAGGTGTATGCACGCACAGATCCAACCGATGCATTGACCATCAATTGGGTGAGACGCATCCTCTTTGAGCAAATCACGCATTGGGATATTGAATATGCCGACTTTGTACGACACTATTTGCAACCCGAACGAGAATTGCGCAAGATCACAGCAAGCCATTTACGCAAGGTATTCCCAGCTGATATGCCTGAAGAAGCGAGAGGAGGTGAACGCACCAAGCGGGCAGCTGAGATGACTGATTTGCCATTATTGGGAACCGAGTTGGATGATGATTATGATGATGACGATGACAACGGCAGCTATGATTTGGAACAACAACAACGCCAACGACCACCTGCCATGTTACCAAAGTTATCATGTTCACCTATAACATCAGAAAACGTTGATGATTGGAAAGGAGGAAGCATCATGGATGAAAAGCAAGAGGAGGATGAAGGGGATCAAGGCAAAGACAAGAAGAGCGTATCATTGGATGAACATCCATCATTCTTACAGCATGAAGTTCGACGTCGATTGTCCTTGGAATTGATGCGAGAATTCAATGCAAAGTTCAAACAAGAAGAGGCTTCACCACGAGAGAAAGGCGTTGGATACGCAAAACCCAAAGGCAACCAAAATACCAGCAACATGGCCCCTGGTGTCAATAATACCCCATCGAGGATACCAGTGTTACATCTTGGTCACCAAAACAAGGCCAAGCTTTCACCCCCTCTATATGACACTTCAGTATCACCTTCAGCCGTTTATGATGGCACTCGACCTTCCGTACAAATTCAGCCTGCCGAACAACTTCATCAACCAGAAAGCATGAGAAGACGCAAATCAATGCTACCGGATTGTCGATACGACTTGCTATTGACGGGTGATCATAATGTCAGCGGAGGTGGTCAACTTTTCCCAAATACAAAATCACCCTTTGGCAACCCAAAGCACGCCTTGCAGCATATTCGACCGCATACATTTACTGGCAGCAGGAGTAATGAAGACACATTATCATCAGCAGCAGCAGCAAAGAGTGATCCAAAACGTGCTTTTCCTCCACCACCACCTTCTACTGCATCCCATGGACGCCAATTTCGATCACGACTCCCGAGAAAAAAGACATCATTGCAAGTTTATACGCGTGTGAATGATCTTGTGAGAGAAAATATGGAAGATGAATTACCAGATGAAGAGCGTATGCATATGGTCAACCAAGTCATTGATGAGCATCCTCCTGCACCAAGCGGTGATTCAGTAGACTATTTTTCACCTATGGCGCCCTACACCAATCGAGTGACGGAGGCCCCTCGACCCTCCTTCTTTTCACAACACTATCAAGGTGGTGGTGGTGGAGGAGGTGGTGGTGCAACAGAGCCCATCACTGATTTTGGAATGGAACTTGAACGACATCCACCACCAGCTGTGGAACTTTTGGAACCTCCACCCGTTAGTGTCATGGCAGGCGTGTCTTCGAATGATATCCGCAACCCTGATGAGGATGATAGTGAAAGCTTGCAAAGTGAAAACCGGCAAATGCTTGGGGATAAAGCACGTGATGACAAGTCGCAGCAGCAGCAGCAACAACAACAACCTGAAAAGAGCTCCATCATGAAAACAATCACAAGTTTTCTTACCGATAGTGGGGTTGCTAGTTTACTTCCTTTGGAGTATCCACTGTAAGTATTTCATTTAAAAGAGCGGGGATTGTAGAGATACTAATAGTGTTGCCTAGGCAACCTACCGAGCACATTTTCCCTGATTCATTTGTCATTGTCAATGAAGAAAAGCCAAGCACCATTATTGCCTACACACTCAGTTGCCATGACTACCTTGCCAAATTGTATGGTGCTCAAGATTCAGCATCCGAGTTTTCAGTCGATGATAGCATCGTGAATGGTTCAACTGATATGCCTATGCCAACCGAAAGCAGCACTGATTCTTCACCCATGCCGGCACCTGATATTCAAGAAACATTAACACGTGAATCGGGATCACATATGGGATACAGTAAGTCAACGATGCTAAAGTGAATTTGGATACAGCATTGAATTGGCCTCATTTATAGGCTTCAGAACGGGAACGGGAACGACCAAGTTCGTGTGCAAGGTGTTTTTCGTTGAGCAATTCGATGCTTTGAGGCGTAATTGTGGATGTCACGAGAGCTATATCCATTCTTTGGCCGATTGTGTGAAATGGGACTCATCGGGTGGAAGATCAGGTTCAGCGTTCCTAAAGACAGCCGATGATCGCTTATTGATGAAGCAAGTATCACGATTCGAGCTCGATGCGTTTTTACGTTTTGCACCTGCCTACTTTCATTACATGTCGGAAGCATTTTTCAGCGAGGTAGGTTATTCAAATTGTACATTCCTTCATCATCCTGATTTTCTATTATTAGCTCCCTACTGTGCTAGCAAAGATTTTCGGATTCTACAGCATCAGTTACAAGAACACGGTTACAGGAAAGTCAATGAGGATGGACGTGCTTGTCATGGAGAATCTATTCTATCAACGAAAGATTAAGCAGGTAAGGGACATGTTCATAGTAAGGAATGATGATGATGATCCTGATCGGTTTTTTCAAAAGATTTTTGATCTCAAGGGCTCGATGCGTAATCGACATGTTCAATCTACTGGAAAGCAGGATGAAGTATTACTGGATGAAAATCTCGTTGAATGTAAGGGGATGCATGACATGCTACATGTTTTTCAAAAAGCTGACCACCTTGTTATACATGTAGTAATCTACCATTCACCATTATTTATACGTGCACACGCCAAGGAACTTCTTCGTAGCTCTCTTCACAATGATACGCTCTTCCTCTCCAATCGTAATGTTATGGATTACTCACTTTTGGTTGGCATCGATGACGAACGGCAGGAGCTTGTGGTTGGCATTGTCGGTATGTATTTATTAATTGGTGAATCTTAACCGTCAACTAACGTGGTTTAAACAACCCCCTTGTATGCTCTTTTAATATGTCAAGATTTCATACGGACATTCACATGGGATAAGAAATTGGAGAGTTGGGTCAAGGAATCTGGTATTCTCGGTGGTGGTGGTAAGGGTCCAACAATTGTATCGCCTCGACAATACCGTATCCGTTTCAGAGAAGCCATGGAGCGTTATTTCCTTATGGTGCCTGACGAGTGGTCATTAACACGACAAATTCGAGCACCCTATACCGGCTTGTATCATCATCATCAACAGCAACTTCTTCCAGAGCAGCCAATGATCCAATCACCCCTTCAACAGGAGCAACAGCAACAACAACCACAGGAGTGAGAGTAAATGAGATATATATATCAGTAGACACAGAGTCATTGTAAATACAAGTAACACAGACGTACATACCTAGCAACAATAGATCTCATTGGCATGTGTAATAATTCGTATTGCAATAATCCCTAATCGGTTTGTGGGTAGCGAAGAAGGGGGGGGGCATGTGTGTGGGCGGGACGTCATATGCACTTTTGCCAGATGTATAAAAACCAAGGAGTAGTATTCGTCCCTGAAAAACACAAGAAGAAGAAAAATGTTCATCAAGTTTGCTATGGTGGCCTATGCTGCCACCTCATTTATCATCAACAATAGGGTGGTGGCTGCAGAAAAGAGTGTTATTGTTGTGAATCAATGTGGTCATGATCTTCAAGTCGGCTATCAAACGAATGGCGAACCCTATGGTCAAGTGATCTCTGTTGCTCAAGGTGATAGCACGGATCTTCCCATTGAGGATGATTGGGCGGGTCGTGTATGGGCTAGGAAATCGTGTGATGTGCATGATTGTACACTTGCAGGTGCAGAAAATCCAGCCTCTCTTGCCGAATTCAAGATGAATGGAGCCGATGACATCGATTATTACGATGTTTCCTTTGTCGATGGATACAATCTTCCTATGCGTATCGAGCCCGATGAAATGTCCAATGATCAACCTAGTGATGAACGGCACTGTCAACCTACATTTTGCAACCAGACACCTCCATGTCCCGATGATTTAGCTTTTTATCATGCAGAAACAAACGACTTGGCTGGATGTCAAAGTGCTTGCTCACGCTACAAGGAAGATGCTTATTGTTGCACGGGGAAGTATAACGAACCTAAGAAATGCACCAGCAACCACTTTGCCAGAGTAGTCAAACAAGCATGTCCAGATGTATACACATACCCATTTGATGACAAGATTAGTGTTTTCGGATGCCAGGCAGAAAGCTACAAGGTCACCTTTTGCCCTTAATTGAACCATCATCGTTTCAGCATCATTCATCATTATCATCAACATTTTCCATTTTTCATTGTCTTATAAAGAGCATCATGCATAAAACAAAGAGTTTGATTATTATTGAATTTGGCGGGGTATATGTAATCTATCGAAGCATATTGGGTGTTGGGGGAATGAGGTAATTTGAGGGTGTCGTTGGTGTTACTGGTGATGGTGCGATGCTCTTTTCATCCAACGGGAGATCTTGATCGGATATCGCTGATGATACGCAAAGAAGAGTGGATGTCGAAGAAAGCGAAGCACTCATCCTTAACCGATTCATGACACGCACAGCTTCCACGGCACTCCGAAGCGTCCTTCGAGGACAAAAGTTTTGTCGCACGGTTTGCAATAAGTCGACATTGGTTGCACTTTGTCCTATTAGCCATTTGTCACATAAAGCCTCGCTTGCAGTGGGTCGTTGTTTTGGATCCAATGTCAATAGCCGAGTGATAAAATCTTTGGCTTTAAGTAGTAAAGTGAGATCCACATTCATTCTTTCTATCACAATGACACCACCACTTACCATCCTGTGAAACTGTGTTCCAATATCGATCATGAAATTCGTAACGTGCATTTGTGATTTGATTTACAAGTTCCATCTTTCCACTTTCGCCTTGAAATGGCTGATATCCACAAAGCCTAAATGATACATGAGTGATATGGTTATAGAAATAGCTTCGAGGGTACTTACAATGTATAGGTGATGACGCTACATAGCAATGATGAATAGCAGCAGCAGCAGCGATCTTGGTTAGTTTGATTCCTTACAATCCCTAAATCCCATTACATACCCAACGGCCCAAATGTCAACAGGTGCACCATGATCTTTTCGTTGTAATACCTCGGGTGCTGGAAGATGAATGGGATTAGTTAGCACATGTTCACACCACCAGTAGTTGTAATGATGGTTGATGCTTACCAACATATCCTGGCGATCCACACACAGTCGTTCGTGAAATGGGTGATTCTTCGGAATCGATAAGTTTTGCGATACTAACGAAAACAAAGAGTTAGGAGATTCAGGAACATGGATGGATGGGGGGAGAGAGGGGTGATTTAGTTAAAAGGGGTGTGGCTCATCACACAATGTTTCACATTACCCAAAATCGCATATGGCGAGTTCAGCATCAGAATCAGGGCTCTTGAAAAGTAGGTTTTCTGGCTTGAGATCTGCACACGTGATATAAGAGAAAGAAAGAGAGGAATACAGAGAATGTTATCAACATGATGCATATTGCGTACAATGAACAACACGTACCTCTGTGAACAACGTTTCGTGCGTGTAGGTATTCAAGGCCCTTCAATACCGACCGTATCATTGTAATTGCATCCCTTTCGGTAAACTTTCCACGTTCAAAGAGTCGATCAAACAATTCACCACCCGTCGCTCTACCATCCATCGACAACCAAATGTCAAACTTTGTTGCATAAATGGGGTCGTTTCAGTCATCTCCACTTACAGCTCAAAGACCAGATAGAACTTTTCCCTGTGTAACAAATTTCCCGTTAGCCAACAGCTGCCAACGCATGAATTGCAATTCATCTTGTCACACACAATGAAAGGTACAACAAGGATAGTCATCAAAGAAGGCTCACCGAGATTCAAACCAATCGTAAAACTGAAGCACGTTTGGGTGGTCAATCCCTTCAAGAACTGCCATTTCGGAATACACCATGCTGTAATTGACCTTGTCTTTGGGAATCACCTTGATCGCTACCGGCAGCTGATCTTGCAGACGAATGGCGGTTTTGACATTGCCGAATGAACCAACACCTGTATAGAGAGCTCGTTTGTAAGCTTTTGGCAGTGGAAATGGAAAGGAACAAGCTGACCTATGATGTCTCCAATTTTGTAGTCGCGCTTCTTACGATGGGAACGTGGCTGGTATAATCCTTTATGAATGACTGTATGGAATACTTGTCGAATGCGCATTGTCAATAAAAGGTAGAGAGGATAAAGAGGGAAGAAAAGCAATGTATCTTTTTACCTGATTTGATCATTCATTTTTAGCAACGCCTTGTCTCCTCGGCAACCACCACCACAACCAACAATCAACCATCCCCAACAACAACAAGTAACATGAACACATCGGCATTAAACTTTATGCGTTGGTTACCTTGACCCTTTCAATACGCTACTTTCTTTATCCATTACTCGACCATCTCATCTTCCTTGTTGTATTATTGTATCAAGATCCGCTGCAAGAATAATAAACCTCCTTGGTAGAATGATATGGTGGTAGTAGTTGTAGTAGTCTCCCCAAAACCCTATGTTGTGCTTCCATGTCTAATGCATCTTCCCATCATTTCAGGGAGAGGTAATAGAACTGAAAGAATGGCAAGAAAAGACGACATATCCACTCAGCTTTGTCATGCATATCCCTTTCTATCCCCTTCTCCTCTTCCCCTCCCCTTCCCTCCTCGCCGCAACCAATCTTTTCTTTGGGGGGGATTGTGTGTGTGGATGTTGAGCACTATTGTCACTGCTGCCATTCCCTACATACTACTAAATACTGCCACACCAACTGTCACCCCTTTTCTAGGGGAGAATCAATGGTATCGAGCTTCATCACCACATGCAGCAACCATTCACCAAAATCTTTATATAAGTTTACTTGTTGATCATCAACAATCGTTGCTGCATGCAGTAAGGCTCAAATTGAATCACGCTTGCATAATAATTGTAACACGGATATGGCTTACTGAGGGTATTACTATGGGGTGTTGTTATGGGTCACACCTTGTTGAAAGAAGAGTGCACTGTGGCTGCGACGTTTATTATTACTGGGGCTAATCCCATGATTGTCGCCAACACAGGGGCTACGAATAGCAATCTCATGAATGGATCTCGTGTTGAAAGACACGATAATAACGTGTGCTGAATCCTCTCTCTTGTGTATTGCCATAGTGATGGATGCATACATGAGGATGGGGAGCGTATAGCTTTTGGATTGTGTATCAGGCGTTTTAGTGATAGTGCATTATCCATAGACTAATGCTGATTCGAAAACTAGGCGTGGTCATCTTTTTGAGTATACAACACCACATAAAAAATTACATCCACCTATTATCGTTCTCTAAACATAGGCCACGAAGCCTCTTAAAAATAGTTTGGTAGCTGCACGTGCATGCGTTGTCCTATGTGTGAAGTATTCTTAGAGGGGGAAGCTCCCATTTTTTGCAGACACGTGAAGCGTTGTGATCATTTTAATGGTTCATTCAGTGGCCAGTTTTCATACCAATTGTTTTTATGTTTCGTGTGAGAGGTGACATGGTTTACTACGCTATCCCTTATATGATTTCCCATCAATTGGCATGGTCCTTCAAACAACGGAATAATAATACGTCTGCTATTTTGCTGTCAATCACCAAGTAAATGACCCGCCATGGATATTACCTTTGGATGCTCATTTCGTTAGTCACCTATCCAAGCAGTGATACGTAAAGAAAATGTGAGCATTCTCATGATCCATTATCGCGAGGTTCCTTGTGCTAAGAAGCTTCCCTTTGTTGTTAGTGCGGTGTTTTGCGAAGCACATTTAAGAGTGATGGGAGCTAACCACACACTAATAGGCTGATTTCGGTTGCAAAGCGAATCACCTATGCTAAATACCAAGGCACTCGGACGAGATTCACATGTGTGATACACGATTGCTGTCAATGTCGAGCAGCATCCTCCTCCCTTAAGACTCTCGATGATGTTAGTGGATAAACAATCAAGATGGACATAAGCCAGGATGACGTTATTCGTTATGCTAGTGCATGTTAACAATCACCATACCGCAATAGCTTTGTTTTTCTTTTCATTTGCAGCTTAATAATACACGTAATGATTGGACATACATAACGAAAAGCAAGAGCCCTTTAATGATCTAGGTATTCTTGATTATCAAACATTAGCACTATGGTAACTTCTCATGGATGATCTATCAATGTTAATCGAAAACACTATAAGCGTGGTTGTGCGAGGTGGAATGGATCACCAAAGAAAATTAAAAAAGAAGATCCAAAAATGTACAAATTGAAAAGTGAACCCTTGATGCATGAACAACAACAACAACAACAGATACGAGGTTCCTAACGTCGATGCATGTGGTGTTGATCATCACACAAAGAGCAATCAGAATGATTCCCATTATTTCTTTCGGGACAATGACACCCCTTCTTTGCGCTGAATGAATGGTAGACCCCTTTTGATGCGAGCAACACAATAATAATAACACACAAGGGCCGTGCGTCTTGCATAAAGCAAAGTTCCGATTCACCCCATTCCTCTGATATTTCCGCCTTTGTTGCCCGTATCGATGTTCTAAGTGCTTATCTTCCTCTCTTTATTTGTAGACTCTTTCTTTCTTCTCTTTTCCACATTTGTCTCCCCTCACGCGTCCCACATTATCAAAAGAAGAGAGAGAGACAATGAAATCACCATTGCAATCATCTTCATTGTTCACAGCAGCAGCAGCAGCCGCGTATGGGTTTGAAGGTCGTAGGTTCTTTCCACAACAGCTTACACCTCCAGAAGAGTCATTTGATGATGAGAATCAGCTACCGACACCTGAAGAATTTGATAAGATTGTGAGCGATTACCTAAACAACCTTAGTCCCAAGAAGAGAGACAAGGCCTTGGTGGATCAAAAACGGTACCAAGTGATCCAACAAGTGCTTAAGGATCCTAGGAATACGGCGATCTCCACAGCACAATTCCGTTTTTGGGTCAAAAAGATGTTCCAATTGCAGCCTGGTACGGTGGGACTTGTGTGCCACGATGGCAAGCCTGTAGCAATGAAAGAGCAAATCTACTCGATCCTTGTCCAGGCACATAGAGAAGCTCAACATGGTGGTCGAGATAAAACATCAGCCTTAGTGAGTATACCACCACCACACGTGTGTGTAAGCATCATCATCATCGATCACCAAGACTCAATGTATCCCATTTAGGTGAGAAGAAAGTTTTCTTGGATTCCAAAGGAGCTCGTGGCAAGATTTGTACGACATTGTCCCTTTTGCATCACACGTAGAAATGGCGGGCAAAGCCCAGGGGTTTTTACACAACAGCATAAGATGCACAAGCCCAATCAGTGCATCAACAACAATACTCCCAGGCACAGCTTTGATGCATCCTTTTTATGTACACCTTCCATGTACGAGGATAGTGATTTTTCATCCACTACAGAGAATGGTTATGGAGCATCACCAACCAGCTATGCCTATTCCTCATCCACTTCACCTGCAAGACGCGATAGCACATCTATGTACGATAAGGAAGAAGAAGACTTTTTACAAGCATACGCACGTAACGGAGGATTCCATCCTTTTATCACTCATCCCAATGCAACGGCAGCAGCAGCAGCAGCAGCGGTTGCGGCTGTAGCTTCAACATCCACAACACCATTTTCCACAACTTCTACTACACGTACTCCTAATTCCGGTGCACCCACGCTCTTTGATGATCATACATCCTCACCTACGTCACAAAATATTTTCTACCAAGCATCCACAGCAGCAGGGTATCTAGGGTATCCATCTTATTATTACCCCAATGTCCTGGGAATTGTCCCATGTGATAACACGCCAACAGGTATTGAGAACCACCACCATCAACCACCACCACCCGTGGATTCCACTGTCACCACCAATAGCCATCCATCAACAGAAGACACTACAGCAGATATCCTTGCCCATCATCATCGTCATTCTCAACAACAGCAACAACAACAACAACAACAACCTCTTCCACCTACTACTCCATCCAATAATACTTTTATGACTTATCCAAACGACGATACCAATAGCAACAATCATGTGCTCTTATGACGTTCCTTTCCATCTACAACTACTACTTATACTAGTAATAAACCAATAAACAAACATTATATTTTGTGTGTGTGTGCTTGTGAGAGAGAGTGTGTGTGTGGGTGTAATGCATGCCATCTCCACTATAACTGAGTTACGTGTGTGTGCCTTCAAAAATGCCGACTTTTGGGGGTGGGGGGTTTTCTCTGCCAGCGTATGTATGTATAATGTGTGTGCTTGCTTTGTTTGCTGAAGGTGAGTTGTGAACTAAAAGACACATTGTGGTATACAGGCCTAACGATATATAAACTACATTTGCATTTCAAATTCGTTCCAGCCAAGGCCCAAAAAGTAGTTTGGATCGGCCATGAACGCATTCGCGGCGACCTCATTGCCAAGCATGGGAACAGCTGAATGGTTGACAGCATGCAACGAAGTGGATGAAAACAAATGTTGGTGTGGATTCTGGTCTTGCCGGTCGCTGAAGCCTGTCATGAAGAAAGGAGTGCCACTACCATAGTGTGATGTCGAATGATGATGATGATGTTGGTGCATACGCAAACTCGTATCGGGTGCTGGTGCTGGCGTTGTCATAGTTGCTACTGGTGCTGGTGCTGTTGCTGTGCTATTGGTGTTGCTATGGTGAGAGGGTGAAAGCAAAAGTGCAAATGGATCTGCTGAAGGTGGTGGTAACCGTGATGGTTGTGCTGTGGGGTTGTTGCCAAGAGACGATGACGATGCCGAGCTGCCTTTACGTTGCTGTTGCTGTTGCTGCTGCTGTTGCTGTGCTGCTTTGCTCCGACCACAAATACATCCATCAGGTGCAGGCGTCAATGTTGATGAAGGAGAAGCACGCATGATCGAGGTTCGTGATGATGTGGATGATGATGATTCACTGTTACGTCGTTGTTGACTCTTGATCCACCGCCGTTTAAGTCGTAGAGTAGAACGTTCCATATTCAATTCAAATACATCTTCTTTTCTGCTACTACTCGTGGATGGTGCTGGTGGTGTAGGTGGTGGTGTGAGTCGAGGTGGCATTTTGGGTGCAGCTGCTGGATTATTAAATAGATGATGAATGTCTGTGCGTAAGGATGAAAATGAAAAGGATCGTTTTATTACCTTCCATGTCAGTGACAAGAATAGGAATTCGAAAGTTTTGGTGCAATAGTAGCTCTGGTGAAATGTCAAGAGCCGCTAATGCCGGCACATGGGACGGCGTCTGCAGCCGATTGTTTAACACATCATCTTTGTTGTAATAGCTGACCAGGTGCTGTTGTACCCCATCGACGATCAATGACATGCTTTTCTTGATCAAGCCATCTTTTTTGAATCGGTAGCTATTCGTTAACGATCCAACAAGGGCTCGCTCTCTTTGTCGCTCCGAGATGTTCTGACAGCCACCTCGAGTTAATTCATCGCCTTGTGGGCATCGCTTGTCAAGTTCGCGATATACAAGAAAGTTGCCGAGAATCCTTGAAGGGCTCCACACTAGCCCATCAGTCCAACGTTTGATGCCTATTTAAAGTACGCCAAGTTAAGAAGAAAAAAGCTTATCAGCATAATAAAGCTATAGATAACACGACGACGTACCGCTCTCGTTTTCATCAAAGCAAAAGACGGCACCGCTTTGAACAAGTTGCCGCTCCTTTTCTTGAAGACGACGATTCACACGAGGTAAAAGTCCTCGTTTGCATGCCTCAAAGATTAAAAGTGAGTCGCGAGTGGTTTCAATGTAGCCCTGAAAAGTCGTCCCAGCAACGGTATTGTTTGCCATGACAATAACGAAAGAAAAAAGGAGAGAAAAAAGAAGAAAAGGAAAATGGGAGAAAAGGACAAAAGAACATGAAAAGAGTTCGATGCCTCCTATAAACGGATGGGGCTGCTGCAGATCATGACACTGCCCATGAACGGCTTTTGCACTATACTACGTAATTGAGCGGACGCTTGCCTTCTTTATTTCGCCCAGAGCAGTCAATGAGGGAGAGAAAAATGGCGACCCAAACAATCATTGGATGGCTCACATGGAATGGCACGTGGTTGCGTGATACCGTGAGTGCATGTGTGCTTGTTTGCACAAACATATCAGTAGGGTAAGTAAAGCGAAGGAGTAAGTAGAAATGATACTAAAATCGCAATACGTGTGTGTGAAAAGAACCGGTATTGCAATTGTGTTGTTGCGGCGCACACCGTTTGATAATCTAGACCTTTATGCAGCAAACCATCATGTTGGTGAGAGTGTGCCGTATTTTGTTGTTGTTCTTTCCGCCTTACCACCGGCCGTGTCACCCCCCAAAAGTTGTATTTGAATGGCGTTATTGAAGTTCTAACCAACTGCACATACCCTATCCGTTACACCATTCACAAAGAAAGACAACCAAGATTTTACACAGATGCCATTTATTGAGCCTTGACAAATCCATTGTCAGCATTGCAGCAAATAGTATCCCTACTATTGGCACAGTAGCACACGCATGTGCACCCTCATTGTTCTATGATTGTTACAATGAGCACGCATCTTCAGCTGACCAATGGCATGAGGATGCCATGTATAAAATACCTATAGCTATAATGTCGATGATCACCGACTTGAATCAAACATTTGAGGATTAAACCTCTATTATTCTTTTCTTTCTACTCCCACGTGTCTCAAATACGCCTTTTCCACTTGTAATTTGTAACATAGAGATCTGCGCTCATCCCCACACACATCCACATTCTTGGGTTTTGCATCAACAAGAGGGCGATATTATTATAGCAAAGCATGCTCGCCCTCAATCATGGTGCTGTAGACGAATGAGGCGTCGTCGATACCGATAAACAAAGAGAAAAGATTCGGCGTTGCTATATCCAGCATCATGTTTATGTATGCCCATCTCAACGGGGAATGATTTTGTGCATGATTTGGAATCATTAGTAGTCTTCTCCTTACATTGCTACGCTTCAGCAACCAACGGTAGCTTATAATCGTCGTAAAAGCAGTACCAGCAATGTGGACATTCAAATGCATTATCTAAACCCACGCGCTCATTTCGATTGACTAAACAAACACGAGCAAGATTATTGTTACCCAAGAATTGCACCATTTTTCCTTGTTGCTTTCGAGTTTACAAGGCCCAAAAAAAGAGAACCTGTCAACTCGACGACAAGTATACGAATGATGACCACTACTACGCATATGCACCAGCAACGATTTGCACTACGTTGTCTAATGCATGTTGAAACACCATAACCATTATTCTCCATGGTCGTGTGATAATCTCAATTCACACCTTTTGCATCGGACCTAACCGAGTTCTGCATGACGACGCTTGAGAGACACATAAGGAAAAGTCATGGGAGGAGGTACAAGTTGCTGAAACGGTCAAGATCACTGGATCTGCTTTTATTCTCGTTTGCATCAAATATTCTAATTAGCTGCAATGGCATCAAACATGCTGCTGCCCAAAGTTGCACAGCATGGATGTGCATGTGTTAACATTATCAACCTCTAAATATGTATATTGCTTTTGCTGCTGCTGCTGCTGCTGCTGTGATCCACCACCACCACCACCACCGCCACAGTCACCCCAAGCTTACCTACCTATCCTATCTCAGTCCTTTGCGCTGTCTCAACTTCCTCAAGTCGACTTTCTCTTTATACACCATGATGGAGCTCGCCACAAAGTTGCTGACAATGATGGCTATCGGGTTGCTCATTCCCATCAGCTTACTGATCCTCGTCGATTTTGTCATTTACCTTTACCGACATGGCAAGAGTGCCATCAGTGGCAAGACTTTGAAGACCGAGTAGACGCTTTCACCCTCCCACCACCACCACCTCACCTAATACCAATCCTACAAGGCTCTCGGACGACGCAAAAAGACTCAAGTAGATTATACTGTACACCTTTAATCATTATTCAACATGTTGATATCGTATTCGACTTTTACATAATGCCCATCCTCCAACAAGTGCATACTATATAAACATCTTTACCCCGGATCTTGTTTGATTATCTTCAACGTGACATGTTGATGCGAGTCAAAAGAAGGTTGACCTGGGTAGCTTATCGATTCACTCATCCAAAAACTTGGTGTCTTTAAGCTCGTCAGGGAGATAGGTTTGGTCGACAGGTTCATCGTAATCAGGATTGTACTTGTATCCATCGCCATAGCCAAGGTTCTATATATCCAGCTAATCAGCACCACCAATGTCCATGATCCTATCCACTACCCTTTACCTTCATCAATTTTGTTGGAGCATTGCGGATATGCATTGGCACGGGGTAATTGGGTTGCTGTCGAATGACCTCCTTGACCTGTTACATCTTGTAAGTTTCCCAAACCTGTGATGCGTTCTTTCCATCGAATTACCTTATTATATGCCTTATAGGTTCGTACACTCTTTTTGGTTTCAGCAAGGTAGGTAGCAACATGGGCTAAAATAGTGTCGCATTCAGGCATTCCAATCTTCTCACACGCATGGTACGCTGACATGGCCTTTGAAGAACAATAGATACATCAGCACAAACCATTGTTGACGAGCAAAGGGTGATGAATCCTACCAAGGGCAATGCAGCACTATCCGCCATCCCAATATCTTCGCTTGCCATTCGCACCATTCTTCTTGCCACATACAATGGATCTTCTCCTGCTTCCAGCATTCGTCCCAGCCAATAAAGCGCAGCATTCGCATCACTATGAAGGATATCCAATGGTTCATCTCATGATCGATCCATATCCAATCCATAGACATTACCTTCCTCGGACACTCTTATGTAATGCACTGATAATGTTGTAATGTTGTTCTCCGTTACGATCATAAAGCAAATGTGATTTTTGAAAGGCACCTATAAAGAGGATATCAGCTATGGGACATCTTCATTTGTGGCCTCCCCTCCCATCATTACCTTTGATGATATCAGGACTTAAGGGTGATGCCTTTGAAGGCAAGACACTCAAAGCAACTTCCAGAGTATTGATTGCATTGCGTGCTAAAACAAGTGCGAGTACTCAATAAATGATCATGTTGTTTTTCGATGAGGGAAGACTTACCATCTCCATCACTATACACTGCTAATACGGACAAGGCTTCTTTCTCTTCCTTTTTTTGCTCCTCTGTGAGAGGGAGTGGTTCATCTTGACGCCATTGTTGCAATGCTCTTGATAAGATCTCTTGTAAATCCTCCTCACTCAATCGTTGTAACACAAAGACTCGACACCGAGAAAGAAGAGCTGAATTGACTTTGAAGCTGGATCCCGCGCTCTCTTGTTAGTAAGTGATCATCACTATGAGAGAGTGTATGAACTTTACCTTGGGTTTTCAGTGGTAGCACCAATCAAATGGATAGTCCCTTGTTCAACATAGGGTAAGAACAAATCTTGTTGTGCCTTTGTAAATCGGTGGATCTCATCAATGAAAACGATAGTCTTTTGTCCAGTGAGTGACAAATGCCCCTTTGCTCCTTCAAATGCTTTCTTGACATCCGCTGCACCATGACTTGTGGCGCTCAACTCGACAAAACGGGACTTGGTCATCTTTGAAATGATACGTGCAACCGTAGTTTTGCCACAACCAGGTGGTCCCCTGAATGTACGAGCAACAGCAAATGTGATCAATGGATCTATTTTTGCACGCACACACAATTGCACACACACACACACACACTTACCAAAGAACCATGGAAGGTATCCGATCACATTGCATCAGAGTACGCAAAACACCATTCTCTCCCAGTAATTCTTCTTGGCCAACAAACTCGCTCAATGACGCAGGACGTACTAGGATATTTGTTAGTTCCTATCGTATGATCCTCCTTCGTTGTACTTACCTTTGGCAGCCAATGGCATAGCCTCCCTGCTTGGATCCCTTCGTTGTTTCTTGGTATTCTCGGGTGTGGTGCTGCTACTTGATTCGGATGCCATACGCTTCATTTGTGGTGATGTGCTGGTAGATTTTGATGATGATGTTGTTGATGATGATGGTTGCGTTGGCTTGCTTGGCTTGGGTATGCTCGTTGCTGACGAGGATTTGGTGGCAGACTCATTTGATCGCTTGTTGCTGAATAAGGGGGCCATCTTGACAGGCTATATAACAGTAAGCTCACCATGCTTTCACCATTATCGATAAGATATGAGCATGCTTACCTTGTTGGTATCAGGACTTGAGAAGCTAAGTTGGCTTTGCTTGGTTGGGCCTTCGGTAGACGTGCTGTTGACAGCTGCTGTTGAGCAACCTGAATCGATATGCGCATTGATGCTAGAGGAGGGAACAAACTGACTGCAAATGGGGCATTCCACTGTTGACCATTGACATTAGCAACTACTGTAACACCCAATGCAATCGTGAGTGGGAGGATACCTTTGTTCATGGTGAATGTTGGCTTTGTACGAGAAGGAGAAGCGCGCCTGCTGTATTCCCCCGTTCGCGCTAATTTCGTGTTCCACTCAACTGCTGCTGCGGTAAGAATGAAACCTGCATGATACTTGGTCGGGAAAACATCACTTGGCTGAAGCATCCAATTACTAGGTCACAAGTCCACCATGTTGCAGGATCAAGTGCTGCTGTCATGCATCAATTCCAATTGGATACCCATACAACAAACCTAATGCAAGCTGCCGTATAATCCCATGTTTGCTCAAGAGATAGACAACAAAATCACATGAGGGGATCATGTAGAAAGGGGTACTAGAGATTTCGAGTTGTTAATACATCGAGTGTATTTATTGCTGTTTCCGATAATCAGTTGCATGATAATGACGTGATCTACAACAATGCTTCTTGTATCAAGACTGGGGGTCTACTACTAATAACACGAATAGCATGTCGAGAAAAGCTTCAAAACGCTGGATGATGCCACCAGCATGTTACTCACCTTATCAAGGTTGCATTATTGAGAAGATTCAATAAGGGTGCAACCAAGCTTCCATCAAATTTGATGTCGTAGCATCCACCTGAATTTGGTTGTTTGTTATTTCAACGTCATTTTGTCGAAGATAACAACAATACGATCGCCGCATCCAGAGGTGTGATGCTGATGATAAACCTGTCGCCATCGCTTTTATCGCCATCATCATCATCCACTAGACCTTTCATCCACTCATTTTGTGCAAGGATGTAATGTATTGAGCAATCCATGAGATGGCGACGTGGAGTGGTATGATGGAAATATTGACTAGGGCAGTAAATGCGCGCGGTTCATATACACAAACATACACATCATCATGTCAATTTTTACCGTACAATGCTTAATTTATTTGTTGGATGATGACACACGCAGGTTTTATCTTTTGTGTGCATGTGTATTTGCTCTCATCTTTTTTCACTTTCCATTCCTTCCCTTTGGCTCTTATGGGATTGACGATGGTGGACATTAAAACCGTACCAACACAGCCATACGATGACCAAAAGCCTGGCACTTCAGGATTGAGAAAGCGTGTCAAAGTCTTCCAGCAACAAAATTACACCGAAAACTTTATCCAATCGGTCCTCCATGCCGTGGAAAACAATGGCAAGGGTGCCACACTCGTTGTCGGTGGTGATGGACGATATTATCTAGACGAGGTGATGCAAGTGATCATCAAGTTTAGTGTAGCTGCAGGGGTATGTTTCTTGCCTAAAAGGATGATGGATGGGGAATACTGTTGTATTGATTTTGCTTGGAATCGATGTTGTGTTTAGGTATCCAAGCTAATTGTGCCACGCCATGGTCTATTATCTACACCAGCCGGTTCTCATCTTATTCGCAAACTGAAAGCAACAGGTGGTATCATTCTTACAGCATCACACAATCCCGGTGGTCCCGATAAGGACTTTGGTATCAAGTACAATGGACGTAATGGTGGACCGGCACCGGAAAATGTGACCGATCGTGTCTTCCAAATTAGCAAAGGGATCAATGAACTTCGATACGCGGATATCCCAAGGGTAATAAGCATGCACAACATCTATGAAGCTATCTCTAACACGCACACAAAAAAAAAACATAGATCTCTTATGACGAACTTGGAACACAAAACGTTGGTGACATGGTTATCGAAGTGATTGACGGCATTGATGATTATGTGGCACTTATGAAAGAGATCTTTGATTTTGACGAGATCAAGGCGTTCCTACAATCCAACAAGAATTTCAAGGTGCTGTTTGATGGCATGCATGGAGTGACGGGAATCTATGGAGAGCGTATCTTTGTACAAGAATTTGGTCTCCCACCAACAAGCATCATGCGTTCAAAGCCGTTGCCAGATTTTGGTGGTGAGCATCCTGATCCCAATTTAACCTATGCCCATGAGCTGGTAGAGCGAGTGGAAAAGGAACAAATTGATTTTGGCGCTGCATCCGATGGTGATGGTGATCGTAATATGGTGATTGGCAAGAACGCATTTGTGTCACCTTGCGATAGTGTTGCCGTGATTGCGCATTATGCTTGTGAAGCGATCCCCTATTTCCGTAAACAAGGCGGCATTCGTGGACTTGCACGTAGCATGCCCACTTCTCGAGCGTTGGATCTTGTTGCGAAAAAGCAAGGTGTCGAATGCTTTGAAGTACCCACTGGATGGAAGTTCTTTGGCAACCTTATGGATGCAGGTCGCTGCTCGATATGTGGTGAAGAATCTTTTGGCACTGGATCGGATCATGTTCGTGAAAAGGATGGTGTGTGGGCTATTCTAGGTAAGTTGCATAGACCATTTTATGTAACATCCACTAAACAATACGATAGCATGGCTCAGCATTGTCGTCCATGTAAACAAGACCAAGCCAGGTACATCCATTTATGATATCCTCCAAAATCATTACAAGATTTATGGTCGCAACTTCTTCTCCAGGTAAGCAGGCTAATCAAACAAGGTTTTATTGTTTGCTAAAGCAACATCAAAAGGTATGATTACGAAGAAGTGGATAGCAGAAAAGCCAACGATCTCGTTGAAAATCTACGTGGGCTTTCTGGTACCAGTCAACTGCTTGGTCAAAAATTTGGTCCTTTCAAGGTATCCAAAATGGATGACTTTACCTATGATGATCCAATAGACAACAGCGTTGCAAGCCATCAAGGTATGCGTGTCATGTTCGAGGATGGATCGCGCTTTGTTGTAAGGTTGTCGGGCACTGGATCTCAAGGTGCAACGGTACGATTGTACGTTGAAAAGTATAGCAGCGATCCAAGTGAATATACAGAAGACACACAAAAGGCTCTGAAGCCTCTGATTGACGTGGCACTCGAGATTACCAAGCTACAACACTACACAGGCCGAGACCGCCCTACAGTCATCACTTGAGAATATTCATACACACACACACACACACACACACACACACACACACACACACTCACACGTCATATATTAGTGTCTATTATAAAAGCAACTATTATTCGGATGTTTGTACATGGGAAACAAAATGCGATGATTATATACATAAGAAATCCACGTCGAGGTCTTCATCACCAGCGTATTCGGATAAAGGTGATAGGGGGCAATCAGTGAGAAGTAGCTTGTCAACGTATGCTTGCACAGCTGGATCGGTAGTTCTCTTTTTGGACTTTGACAAATTCTTGGTAGATTTAGGTTTGCGGGATGATGATGTTGTTGTCATGGAGATGGCTGTTGCGGTGACGTTGTTGCTAGGGATATTGGAAGTAGAATCTGCCGCCGTCGAGTCGGCTGTTGCTTCTTGATTGCCACTTTCCTTCTCTCGGACCTTTCTTATTCTCCTGACAGGCCATTCATGATTATATATCAAATAATGCCGTTCACATCTTGGACATCGTTGAGGTCGCCAATCGGTGAAGATGGCACTAGGAGTCCAAGACCACGTGATAAGTTCAGCTGTGACAGGATTGTTGCAACCAAGCTGTTCAGAGATCTCCTCTTGCTGTAGGTTTTTTCCACACGCTACGCATTCTAGTCGTTCTTCTTCTTTGATAGGTTTGGATGCCGTTTTTGATCGAGTGGCATTATCCTTTTCAGTCGCATGGCCATTCGTTGATACTGAGTCATCTGAATGCTGATGATGCTGCTTCTGCTGCTGTAAGTTGTCAGCTGTTTTTGATTCATTGGACGATCCACCTTCTGTGGATGGTGATGAACTCGAGTCGTATGCTGGAGAAGGTGGGCAATTCTCCCTATTCCTCACACGTACCGCCATACGTTCTTCTTCATTGGGAATCGACACATCAGCATCCATCACCACATCGTACAATAAATCCACCGGCTTATCCAACTTCATGCGTTGCTGGTTGTTGAGTTCATCGGTGCAGAGAAAATCGATACTCATCACGGCTGAATTTCTTTTCTTGGGCAACGATTTGGTTTCATGCTTTGGATGCGGTTGTGCTTCAGTCGTGGATGATGCATCAGTCGTGGATGATGCATCTTTTTTTGGACGTGCACGCTTCGGTGGTTCCGGAGGTGGAAAAGTAATATAGTCTATGAGCACAATCGTTAAATACCACCTCCATTGCTATTGCTTTCTTAAGACCTACCATCATAATTGATGACCTTTCTCTTGCGTCTACTCCTTCGAACGCCATTTGCTTGATCATCCTCTGATGGAGCTTGAGGGGAAAAGTATCCTCGACCATTTCTATAGCAAGCCAATTAGAATGATGATCTTACAGCATGGCTATCAAGCACGTACTCTTCACAGGTTGCACATCGACATTCAATGTTATCGACTCCAAAGTAATGGCTTCCATAGAAAGCTGTCATCTCTTCTCCGCAGGCAATCTTTCGAACAACTTGAAAAGTCACCGCATTTTGGCCTTGCGATATGAACTATGAAAGCATCAGAACCTTTTCCATGATAACGTGTGGCGTAAACTTACTCTGCAATTGGCATTACAATCATGCTATGAGATGATCCCATTTAGTATTTGTTATCAAGCGCTGACCCAATATCACATACATTGACGAATCTTGCGGGGCCAAGAAAAAGACAAGTGCATCCTTTACGTTGTGACCACATGACGCTGAAATCCTGATCCCGATTCCTCAAGTGTGCGTCTTCCTCTGGTTTCAAGGTGGCTATCATCCCAGTGCAAAAACTAATTTGGTCTCCCACATGCCAGTCCTTGGTTGCAATCAAACATGCTTCGGTTCTCCTTCCCTTGACCTTGTATCGTTGGGTGTCGCTCACTTCATATCCCGCACTCGGCATATACCTATTAGATGTATATATGTGTAAATGATATGCCTTATAATGTATCGTGCATAATACTTGCATGTATAGATAACGTTTGGCTTGTTGAGCAAACTCCTGACGCTGTTTCTCCTTGTCGGAAAAGCATTGTTTAAAGAAATCCAGCCTAACAAAGACATTGTTAATAAAGGTCACATACACTCCTTGTGTCTCTCTCGCTCTCTCGCCACATCCCAAAACTTGATATGTCAGTGTAACTTGTATACGCGACAACGTAGGGGAAACACAAGGAGAACAACCCTTTCCCATACCAACCACTGCCACAACTCACTCTAACACTTCTTGGACGGCCTCGTTGGGTTTCCTTTCCTCAACAACTTTGCGTTGGATAATGTCGAGAATCTGCTTCGCATGGATTCTAGGTTTGCGATGGGTGGTGTTCATTTTGGTCGTCTTGAACCATAAAAAGAGGTCGTCAAGGAAAATATCGCTGCACAGGTCATCGTATTTGGATAGATCGGCGAAATCCATGCTGTTCAATGTCGTCCCTTGAGCAATGCAATCGTGCCAGGAGGTGGCAAAGAATAGAATACAACGTAAAAGAGACTGACGGTCCTACTTCTGCTGCTGTTGTATTGTCGCAAGAAGGTATAGAAAAAGCCTTGTTGGATATTGGGGAAACGCGGCGAGAACAAGGAGAAAATAGCGGCGGCGCATCGATCAAACTTTCCTCTGTGTTTTTTTCCATCCTGCAATCCGACAGCAGACCACACCAGCACATGGTCATTCTATATTTGTACTTTTAATAGATGTACAGTCATCATGTTTCTGATTGAATAAACTATACTGATTTGTACATCCTTGTTGCCTTGGTTACAGGTGAAGAGAAAATACATTCCGCCTGATATGGTAAATGAATCCCTTTGCTACTACTCAAGTTCTTGAAGAGACTACCTTTTTCCCTTATGAGAGCATCATGCTCGCTCAAGTTGCTGAATGAAGAAGGCTTGAATTGATACCAACTCAATTGCCAAGCATGTCCCATTGAGTGTTGCTACTACATGATGGCTTCATCCAGGCACATTGAATTCTAGCATACTGCCGTGAGCTGCCGCATGATGGATTTGATGCGATCGCCAATCAAATTGCTTACAGTGAAATGTACCTTTGTGCATGTCAACCTATTCTACTGAGTTATCTTGTGATGTTATCATCAATACCGGTGACATCAGGCATCTTCTCGACCGTAATCCTTTCATAGGAAGTGGACAACGCCTTTCACACTGTGAACATTGAGCATAGCCGTTATCAATCAAGAACTTATTTTTGAGCTATCCTATCGATGGTTCCAACTGCACATGGAGGTTTGGCTATCAAAAAACTTTAATCTTATCACTGCTAGCTCGCTTCGCTCTTAAACTTTGGATGCCTCGTTGAATGACTTAACATTACCAATGAAACAATGTTGATCTTACAATAAACTTACACGTTTACGCAATCACATTACAAGCATCCATCTCTACAGACACCTTCAGCCCTTATCATCATCCATATATGCAATAAGAGACTATCTCTGTAATAAGATGCCCTGATCAATGTTCACGGCAGCGAACACGTCAGCTCATGAGAAGTAGTCCTATTTGATTTCCCATTATTCATTCGTAGTCTCTCATTCTCTCTTACATTTATACCCTCCCTTTCAATATTTTCAAATGAACATGAGATCTTTTTTAACACAATGTTGATAAGCATGTTGCAGAGCACATTGTGTGAAAGTTTCAGGTTCGAGAGGGGGAATCTCAATATCAAGGTTTGATGTACAGTGTTCATGCATTTATACAAGAGGTGTCCGCCCTCTTTAATTTCCACTTCTTCCACCTTTCCTCTTCCTCCCATTCTCAACTGTTGCCCCCATTCTCATCTGTTGGTCCATCCAAGTATACAACTACCGCCTGTGAACGATTGTCCTCCTTCAACCCATCATGTCAACGTTACAATTGTCTTGATCCAAAGGGCTTTGACCGATTGACAAGCTCATGGCGTGCTGCACCCCACTACAACACACGCGTTTCTTGACACTTCACCTTCTCTTGTACACTCCTCTACCAACACCAAGCGTAACAGCGTTCATTCGAGTGGTTGCAATTAGCAAGTCTTTTCTCTCGTATGGTGTTCACAACCTTGTCACTCTACTACAATACACGCTCTTGCACACCCTTCTGCCACAGCCAAAGCTAACAACATTCATCCAGCAGTCGTTATAAGCAATGCCTTTGCTCTGTTGTCTCAAACAGCGTTCTTTACTTGCAGCAACTTGTCTTCCATCCCATTTTACGTGGACAGCAGATGGCCATTGTGTAGAAGCAGCTTTATTTACGTGCAGCAACTTGCTTTGATGGATACGAACTCCTATGGATGATGCCATATCACCTATCAGATGCACCGAAATACAAGCAAATCTTCACCTGGTTGACCAGCGATAACAGAGGCTCTTTCTTATTGGAATTGAAATGGTTATGGATGGATGGATGGATGGAATCAAATGCAGTGATCTGGAATGGTGCTTTGATTACTCGGCACGTCACCAGCAGGAAGGAAGGATCATGTCACGTGGATACGGCTGGGGATGGTGACGGCATGGATGGCGTGGATGAGAGGGATTGTATCTTTGACAAAATGCGGTTTGGCCCCATCGATGACATTGGATATTGGAGTCAAGGCTCGCACAGCAACTAGTTTGCAATCATGGATGATGATGTTTATGACGGCAGCAATCAAGGATACAATGACACAATGACACAATGGTGCCCACTGATTCTATGTGATCCACGTGGTTGGTTTCTAGAATGGAAGGGAGGATCGAAATTCGAAGGTTGAAAAGGGAGATTGGGATCATTACATCATTGTATCGAGACCTTTTCGTTGCTTTTATCGCATTACATTCGTTAAAGAAGCTTCCTTGTTCATATGCTGATAGACGATAGGCAGGATTGTACACATGTTTAATTAGACGCTTGTATTTCAACGATAATAATAAACCCATAGTAATGGCACCCAACAATAATGCCTCTTTCGAATGCTTGATCCATTGAAAGCCTAAATCATAACGCTTAAAAAGAGTGAGCTCTGATACAATAATGTGGGACGAGTGCATACATATGCCTACCTACGACAATCTTGAGGAATGCCATGGCGTTGTTGACCTGAAGCGTTGTTCAATGCGTGGTTACCGTTGTTGCTAAGATGGTGTAGCTGTGAAATTGGATATGGATTGCTTGGCGACAAGGCCTGGATCTTTGGGAAAGGGGGGAGGTTTCACAGGCAGCAGGACAAAATGGTAGGTCGCACAAATCACTTCACAACTCACATCGTCGTCACATGTCAAATCGGTGCTGTTGACGCGTTTGACAGGTTGACTGCAGCAACTTCGCCTACGTGCTTCTGTCAATATTATCACTTTATCTCGTCAAGAGTCATTCACTTACACAACACGATCATTTATCGTTCTTGTCACAATATGCTTTAATGCGCAGCACATCCAGAGATGCATGTATTCATGCCCACGCATTTGAAGAGGGGTGGATAAAGTAGATTAGAAAAGGGTGGGAATATTTCTTATCATGAAAGTGTAAACAAAGGCTTCTTTGTTATCGACTTTTACGTATCCCCTTCAATCAGTGCCCATTTTTCTTCGAGTGCCACTACTCAAATAACAAAAAACAAGAATACAAAGAGCCAGCACTTTTCGTTTCAATCCTTGTATATCTCAATAACAATTCATGGTTGTCGTAAGAGTTGTTCCATTTTTTAATATACATGCACCACATCTTTTACCAATTGACCGGATTTCATGTACTGCGCATTTGTGTAACGAGTGGGCGTGATCATATGTGGTGTAACAAGTGGACGTGATCATTTTGATTCTCGACGCATACTGTAAGCGCATGTATTGCTCCAACCAATATTGAAATCTCGGTACAAGCTGCTCATGAAGAACGCGCACCTAACTAAAATTGGATTGTGCCAATAGCTGCATCAAGTTCCTGCGATACCCAACTATCGGGAAGATTCATTTATTTCTACATTCGCTTACACGCACTTTTTCCTTTACTTTAACAACCATCATTATCACTATACAAGATCAACATGTTATACCTTTAGAAAGGAAACGCGTACATACGGGCACCTGTATGTGTGTGGTGTGCGTGTGTGTGTGTGTGTCAATGGGACGATGGGACAAAGACGAGAAAGATCATGGATAAAGAAGTTCGCTGGTTACACAGACCCATGACCATTGTTCTGAGAGCCGCCACTTCTCATTTATAAAAACGCCCTTTTTCCGCAGCATTTGATTGCCCCAACTCTTCCGTCCTTTTCACACTTTTACGATGCTTTGGCCCAAGTAAGTTGCTTTTTACGTTTCTTGTAACTTGTTTTGCTCACATTGTCATGTTGTTTATAGGGACAAGGGATGGACCATTATTGCCGCCCCTCACCAGCCCGGTTTCCACACAAGGCTTCCATGAATCCCAGCAGATCTTGATACGGAGGTAGCAAGGATGTTGGCCATTCCTCGTAAACTGGCTGCCCACTACGTGTCGGCGTGTTGTATGGGCGTTTGGCCGAGGACGAAATGCAGACCGGTAGCAGTGTCCAGGGTGCACTAATAAAAGACCGCTATCCAAAGATACCAACAAGTGGCTCTTGTTTGGGTAATGCTAAAAGATTCATTGGAAGGAAACTAGGAGGGAAGATAAGTATTCTTACACCTATTTGCTCTCGCTCACCAAAAACATGCTACACTTTCTATCTCAAAGACACAAGCATGGTTTCTTCCAAACGAGGTTTTGGCGCGTCAAGTCCCGGCACCTTAAAGTGGTTACAAGCGCCTCGTCGACCTGGAATTGGTGCCTACAGGTAGAGGTTGGGGATGGTTGAGTAGCGACCTTCACGTTGGTCATCCCTGTGAGTACTTTAGCATTGGCTTTAGGAAACCAACAGCTACTTGTTTATTCTAGTACATATCGTAATCATTAATAAACCATGTTCTTTGATTAATTAAACATACATCCTTGTCTTTGCATGTTTGATACTGTAACGCACTATCAAGTACGCAAATTGAAAATGAAAACTCACGATCCTAGTGATGCTGTTATGGTGTGCTCATCTTATCTATCCATGTTGTCGTGGTATCGATGCCATCATTACCAAGTTTCATTCCATGCATTGTTTCATATGTAACCAAGTCTCTATTTTTATCCTGCAACTAAGACACAATGCTGTTAAAATCATCCAAGTGGAACAGCTGCCCACATAAATCACTAAGTTACTGTAGTAGTTGTAGCCTTTGCGAGATGCATCATCATGCGCTTGATCCACATGAAAAATAGAGTGCTTATCCTTATTACAAGACCGATCACAGAGCCACTTTTATTATCCCATCATCTATGCTATACATCCACCAGCAACAATAAGAAGGGAATAAGCTACATAGATAATTGCGTGTACATGTTGATGGGGGTCACTCATCC